AACATTCACATTTACGTTTAACACTTCGAATGCATTTTAACTAATATAATTACAGGAATATCTCAAGAAATAAACTTAGTTAGCGTTATAGACATGATTTATGATATTACACAGGTTTCTCATTGAAATTCAAAAGCATGATCCATGAACTGATTGAAAAATTAACTGCCAGCGCTCCAGGATTTCGAATATTTGAGCTATTATTCGCTTGAAGCGCTGTATATTATTTTTACATCTGTTGTCGGTATCTATTTTTAATTCATCGAGGAAAATCACTATAAATCGCTGTGCAACCTGTATAACTTATACGTTTTGTTTGTAGGCCACGTGTAGGCCCAGGAAAAGGTAGACAGATGATGTAGAAGAAAATGTAAGATTCTGGGATCAATGTATGCGTTGGGTATGATACAGTGTTGAGTGAAAGGAAGAGGTATACGAGACAAAGTATCGGATAGTAATACATTGGCTGACAAAACAAAGATTCATAGAATATTTACGCCAGAGGGAGTAGTGTTGTATACGATTAGAAATATTGTTTCGCAAAGATATCATATAGGTGCACGCTTGATTGGTTACCACCGTTAAAAATAAAAAAAAACCGACTTAAACGGGGTATTTCTGAATAGCCGACGATACACAATTAGGTACTTTATAAATTAGCTTATTAATTTCCAAAAGATTAAGCATGTAAACATAAAAAGAAATATTATCGAAAATAATATTTTATTCGTGCAACTATAGTATACCTATGTTTATAATTTACAAAAAAAAAAAAATAAATAAAACGTTTATGTGACTTTAACCATTAAACATTAAAAAAAAAAATAATAATAATAATTAAATTTTACCTAATTGCTTATAACGAACGACGGATGTATGTAAAATAAACACGTTTTAATGATTCGTGTATTAATGAGCCGTCGAATTTCGTGAAACGTTAAACCGTTATTAATTTTATTATATTTGTTTCCTTAATTGTGCAGGTAATCTTCCACGCGATTTTAAAATTTCTATTTCCCGTACGATTCTAGAAATATGTCTCCTTCTCATTGTATAAATTACTAAACTTATTTATTTGCTCACTATATCGATTTAATTGCATTCCGTTAAATCGCATACGAACCAAACACGCAAAATGCACTATTAAAATAAGGTAATTTATCTACCAGTCGATACCAATCGAATGTTTGGATAATATATTGTAGTCCATTTAATGGGGTAAAATACTAAATTCCCTCCCGGTTTAATATATATCATTTGACCCTTTAAATACGTAATAAAATAACTTATCAACACATAAAATAGGGCCGAGTAAACATTCCTCGAGTTTTGGCAGTTGTGTGTGCATTTTAGACAAACGCGGATAAGTTTCGCGGAATTTAGCGCAGTTTAGCTCACTCTCTCGGACATAAAATATATGAATTAATTTAAAGGGATGAAAAAATAATAATAATAATACGATAAAATTAGTTAAATTTACATCCCGAGCGTAGCGAAAAAAACGAAATATCGTCGTGATATTATAATAATGTTATCCACTAAAACCGCGTAACAGTAATACAAATTTTATTAGTAAAATAAAAAAAAATCTACAACGTTATTACGGTTTACAATACGTTTTCCGAGGGTTTTATTTATTGTAATTCTAATTTTATTTCTATACGCTTCATATTAATTTCCTAATTATTATATAAGCCATACGAATATGACGCAGGTTTTAACGAACAAACTTTTCTATGATTGGCCCACACCAGATGATGGTAACAATCGTGATGTCGAAAATACCGTGATAGTAAATATCATAGAAAAAGTGTCCATACATTAATATAGTAGAATAGATTATTAGGATGCATAATAGTTGAGTGAATTTCGATAGAACCGTACGAAACTACAATCAAATAAAACGATCATATTATATTTTTAACTCGCGTTGATAGTCACTACCACTCTTTCAGTCGGCTGTGTAGACCGGGCTTTACGATCGGACTCAAATGTAATCGATGTCTAATTTATCTCTAGTGTAATTTTAATCGCGTTATTAAAAATATATCAAATGCAGTTTGTCGAATGCATAAATCTCCGTCAGTCGATTTTTTGTTTATTTTTAATCTCGTAATGATGATGATTTTTTTTTTTCTTTTTGAATTGCTAATCGGAAATAACTACAACGCTACGGTAAAAATATCGTTTACGAATCGGCAACAGAATCGTCAGAGATTGTACTGTAATATATTTTTGACGATGAGAACAGTTTTTACCTACGTTTACATTCGTGTTATAAGAATCAACTACTATATACCGTCAGTAATTTCGATGATTACATTTCGCGCAACAGCTTGTTTTGTGGTGTACACAAAAACGACCTGTAGCATATCACCGGGAAAATGATTATTATTATCGGTTTGGTGTACCATTTCAAATCAAACGAATCCCAAGAACGAGACCGTGATAAAAGAAGGTCGGGAAAAAAAGAAAGAGTGCACATTTTACCCAAGAGACTCGTTTACATATGAAAGAAACCGATAAAATTTGCGTAGGTATTATAAATACGGGGGGGGGAAACCTAAAAGACGATAAAATATTATTTCGTCAGATTGAATTTTTGAATTATTGAACGTTTACGGTTCTTTAATAAAATAATAGCATTTGAATAAAATATACACCTTGCAGCAGTATACATTACCGTATGGGGTTTCTAGTAAACCGCAAAAAAAAAAAAAAAAACCCGAAAACAAACCCTGTAATGTTTCCCAACGACATTGCTGGCAGTGTATCTATATTTTTCATTGCAGATCCGATAATATTTCAATAATAATTAAATAAATAATATTATTTTCATTTTCTGTTGGTTTACCCGGTAAAACTATAACAATATGCCGTGCGCAGGAAAACGCAACGTTGTTTCGTTGATTTTTATGTGATTTGTTCCCAATTGAACTTCTTTATCCCAGACATTTATAATGCTCATAACTTATATTGCTTCGAAAGTAATAAAATAATATGACTAGAAAAAATTATGTACTGCACACATGCACTTTCTAAATTGATGAAACGTTCGTAGTATATAATAGTTAATAATTTGAAACGTACCTATATAACCGAGTTCGTTTAAAGTTGCTGATATTGCGAAATTCGCTACAGTTCGTAATAAAATCAACGCGATTGTGAACATCCATTGAAATTTGAATTCAGTCTATAGTTAAAAGTTAAATATCGGGCGGTTCATTATAAACTACTGTAGTTACTAGCGACATCGTATGTATACGATTTTATAGTCGGATAAGTATAGCGTTGTATTATTACATAAGTTGGTTCGAAATAGTTTTCAATCGTCGTAGCAGACAGTGCCGAACAGGAAATACGATCGCCCTAGTACATGATTCAATTTAAAAAGCATTTTACCGGGTTTTCATCTGAAAAAAAAAAAAAGTGAAACTTTATCCTTTTAACTTGGAAATATTTCGCATATTAATCTTTGAGATTCGCCTTGGATAGAATATTATATTATGAGATTAGAAAAAGCTTATTCGATATTTCTCTATTTTTAAATAAAGTTTTTCGAAATTATTTACAAAACATTATCAAGAAACCGTTCGAAAAATTATTATTATTTTTTTTTTTATTTGTCTGAAAGACACGCGCTTTTTATGACCAATACATTTCTCACTTAGGTCAAAATCCAAAATACTATATTTTTTTTTCGAAAAACTTTTTTTTTCAAAACTTTAAAATGTTCACGTACCTTATATATTGTATTGTGTGTGATATGTGCAACCAAATCTATGGTGCCCAGTTGTATTCGTGGTAAGTATCTAGTGTGTTTAAAAGTAAATATTTATTCCGTTTGAGCATTTCGGTTTTTATAAAATAAAATCCTATAAAAACATAATAAAAAAAACATTACGATTAATAAAATGTTTTTTTTTTTTTTTTTTTTTTTTAAAAAAATCGGAATTCTGTTTTTGTATATTAGACCGTTCGTGTACAATACGTCCCCAGTTTGGCATTTGCATTATTTATAAACACAATAATAATACGATGCAATAAAATACTAGTCAGTTACGTGTATATATGATAAAAGTTGAAATGGAAATGTCTGACGAAAAAGAAACAAATTATATTCCAGATAAAAAAAAAAAAAAAATGTATTACGAACGAGAAGTCACACAGAGACTAGGAAAAATGTTTTCGCGAGATACATCTACATCACAATCAATATTTACGTGATGAAAATTCTTTTAATTTTTAAATAAAATGAATTGGGTTGTAAACTTTCAAGTTAAAACAAATATCTATATTATATACTATCATCGCAACCAGATAATCAGACGGTGTTCGTTAGTTTAAATATTGTTGACGGCTTATAAAAAATGCGTATAATTTAAATTTTAAAAAATAAGACATGTTGTTCGAAGATTTCATTTTTCGAAAAATTTCAAAACTTCTTATTCGAATACGACTTGAATGTTCGTGCATTAACCATAATAAGATTGATATACCGTGTACCATTATAGATCTGTTAACGAAAAAATCTCGCATCTCATAAGTAAAATGCGAGTATCCGGGGAGAAAACTTGTTTTCCGTGGTAATATTTCTTTATTTTTCCACCCAAATATCCATCATATTGGGATGGGTTTGTCAGATGTTGATTCCTGATTTCAGCTAAAATTGTAGATGAAATATTGTTGCTAACGACGTTACACTTACTAATTTTTCATCGCAAATACCTGTATAGGTTCTTACAGATTGCCCTGATATACATGTATAAATGATTTTAATGACATACTTTTCCCATTTTATTGGGTAATTTACTTTTGTTTTAAAAATATAAGTAGTATATTTTTGTATGTTCTGTCCCGCAGTCAAACGCCGCACAAAACCGACAAATTTGGCCGCTGTTTTAAAAATATTTTAAAAAAAAAATACGATATGAGAAAAAATATTTTTAAAAAAGCGGCCAATCAGAAAAGCCAAATTTGTCGGTTTCATGGGGCATTTTGCTGCGGGACAGAACATACACGTATATACTACTAATGTATTCACTTAGATTCTAACAAATATTCGCAAAATGATTCAATTTTCTAGATTTAAACAAAAATTGATGCGATTTGATTAATACTCAATAAAACTAAAATGTAGATAAATCAATGTAAACGTATGGGCTCAGTCTTAGAGATTATAGATTTAGTCTAGTATAGAGATTATAGTCTTATAGATTGAGCATCTATAAAAGTCTAAATTTTAAACTTGACTATCGGTGTACTCTATTTCGGGACAGAGTAGGTAAACAATAAAATAATAATAATTGTTTATTATTATTATTTTTTTGCGATTTTATCATAACGAAATAAATTAAGAGCCAGCGTAGTCTTGTTATGCGCGACTTTTTTGTTAGCGTGTATCTATAGTAGACGTATAAATCATAAAATAGGTATTCGGATGTATGTCGTTTACCCCACGCATACCTTCCAATACTCCACTATATAGGCTGCTTGCAGTGGCAAGTAACCTCCTACTTACTAAGTGATTTCACATGTTTACATGCGTTTAGCGTAGGGAAACTTTATAGGTGTACTGACCTAGCAACTTAGTTCATTATCTACATGGACTGTATCCGCATATTAATTTGTCTGATAATTATGTACGTTTTATCAATACGGCCGGTCTACGATCGAAAATACGCGGGCAAAATGTATTCTCCGTAGGTACGTAGGCTACTATAGGTAGGTGTCGTTCGGCATATTGTATAGAAGTATGCAATTTGCGGTTGTTTTTTTTTTGTTTTCGTATTGTAATTTAGAACCGCCGCTAACGGACAAGCATATCATAAAACGCGTTGCGGAAACAAACAAATTGGCTGTCGATGATATTATGGTAATTTCGTATTTAATTAAAACGTACACGGCCTCCCCGAAGAGCGCGATGCCGTTACGGTCACAACGACGGTAATAGCGAACTTTGTAATTTTTAATGTATAGCCCGGTCGAAAGTAATACAAACACTAATAATAATAATCATACGATGGCATAACTCCGGTGTGTAGATTAGCGTGTATAACTACGGGATTTCTCGAATAATTACTTCCTTTCGTTGACCAATTTGTCCGTCATCAGCGGTACTGCATAATTAAAAATGATTATATATAATTTAGTTTGAGACTTTTCGGGTTCGTGCATAATAAACACCAGTGAATAAGGTTTCGTCATTTTTCAAAAATATTACTATCGTCTAAAAAAAATATCGAATACGCTGTTAATGATCAAACGCCATTACACTAGTCTATAGTCGAAAATTCGTACTGTTGCAACAGAACCACCCGGAAAGTGACGATATTTCCAGAATTACATTCATGATTATTGCGCCGCTGGTATTTATTTCTATGATTAAACAAAATACGCTTATCTAGATAAAAATTTGTCGAGAAAAAACGGCTTGCCAATTATCCGCGACAAATACGGCCAGAAGAAAATTGTTGATCGAGAATCTTTATGGACCGCATATTATTATTTTATTGCAAAATAGATTTTCCATTGATAAAATATTTATGTCGAAATTAAAAACACAAACATATTATTGATTCAAATTTTTTTAGAATTAAGATATTTTTACCGAAAACATTTTTTTTTCCCCTCGGACATTTTAATATAATATTATGTAAACCAAAAAGTTACACGTAAACTCTAATAAGTTATATCATAGTATATTGTTATATGCACCACCATCACTATCGCCTTATGTTTTTTAATAAACCGTCTCCGGTTACAATGGTTACCTCTACGTGATTACCTACAACTATAGTTATACCATATACCTACATTATATTGTTACGTGAGTATATTGACGTTGAGAGATGATCCGGTGTATAACAATGCAAAACTTGTTGAATACCTGCCGACATTGTTTGTTAATCGTTATATATATAATATAGAAGGTACGCGTTTGCGTTTAATTCTAAAATATTAAAACTAAAATAATAATATTCTTTTGCTGTATGATAAGTATTCTTATGGGACGTTACGAGAACTCAGTACATCTATAGTACCCGCTAGATTTTTTTTTTAAATTAGAATAACCTACATATAAAAAAAAAAAAAAAAAGAGCCGATATTACTACACCACTGTTGCAAATGAAATGTCGGGAATTTATCATACATGGAGTACGTTTTCAATTTATATCCGTACGCAATGATAACGAAATACGACTCTGAGAGTAAACGTGTTTTTAAATACCATAATTTTTTTTACGATTTCTGTCAAAATTCGAATTTTTACATTAAAGATAATACATTTAGAATCTAAATCATACAATGGCATATTTCCACCCACTCCCCCCCACTTATTCCCGATAAAAAAAAACTCCTATGACCATGTGCATAACTAAATTTTATGTGTAGCAAGATATGTGTTGATTTTATTATGGATACCTACCCTAATCCTAGCCTAAATTGTAGTACGCTTGCGTATACTTGAATTTTTTTCCATGAAAAATCGTATTCCTCGAAAAGTTTAGAAACCTCGTCATTAGTATTATATTATAATTTATTATGTTACATCCGTCCAGAAATGAATGTTAATGATATGCGTTAACTGATTTGAATAAACGAGCACCAGAAATTCCATGTTTTTTTTAATTTGTGACAATTATCCGTCTGCTGTCTTTGAGAAAATTATTCTTCCAAGTGGCTGTAGAAATGAATCGAATATTAAGGGAGCGTTTAAAAATGAACGCAATAAGTTCTATATGGGAATAGCCTGTCATGGTATACAAAGCAGTGACAATTAATTGGGACGGGTTTCTCTCCTCGACGTTCTTGAGAATTAACAATACTATATAGTTATTCAAAGGTTCAAAAACATAAGACGTCCAATCGATTTGGTTTTTAATTTTCCAATTTTTACCGCTCTCCGGAGGATCGATTATAACTATAATGTAATAATATCTTTAATCTTCTTTACAACTGATTTGTCGAGCTGTGGAGTAGCCTAACAACATACTTGTATGGAGTTCTGCGTTAGTTAAAGCTTTAAGCTATATGAACCGGACAGCAGAGGCAGGATCTTAAACTATGTCAAATATTGTGAGCAGAGTTTTTCGCTTGATATGTATTGTAACCTTATGCGAGGTTTGATTAAAATTTAAAAGGGTATGGTCTCCAGAAGGTGGTGTTTAATTATTGAGGACGAATTGGATTGATAAATTGCCATACGATAGAAATAAATCACGTGGAATTTTTTTTTTTTTTAGAGAACGAAGTAATGCTGATTAATATTTATTGATATACCGTCACCAATTGACCTCAAATAAATTACATTAAAATCACCTTAATCGTCTGCTATATTATGTTAGCAATAGAGAGTCTGATTAAAACCTATAAATAATGGTCTTGAATGTTTTAACGTTACGCGTCGATAAAAATTAAAAGACGTATCTATACAACAATCTGCAGAATTAATAAACATCACACGGTCTTATGATAAATTGCTGTGTTCGAATGAACGTAAACACCGAACGTAATATTTAATAACTTACAATTGAAATTTTGTTTAAATGCATCCTTTTGGTCTCTATTTTTTTATTTTTTTTCTTTAGTTTTCTTGGTTTTTGGAAAACGGATTCGTTTAGGCACGACTGTATACAAGTCCAATATTTATTTACCTGCTTCTACGTGCCAATCCTGTAACGATTATTACTTCCCCATGACTAAGGAACGATAGATAGTAAATTTAATATTTATTGTGGATCATAATAAGCATTGTTATTTCTTTACGAGTTGGCGGGGGACGAGCCAAAAGCAGTATAACTATCAACAATAATGAATCACATTAATAATGTAATTGCGGGAAAGGAGTATACAATGTGGGATATTTTTTTATTTTATTATTTTTTTATTTTATTATTTTTTTTTTTCATTATTTAATATTGTGAATTGTTATTGTATTTAAGTCCTTTTATGTGGTGAAAGTGTAAAATTTTAATTTAATTTGCTTAACTATATTATCACCGGTAAATGATGATATCAATAACACTATTTAGATATTAACCGTCCAAAACATGTTTCGTAACTGACAGTTTACGTCTATTAAAGTTCGATTGTCGGTTTACCCTTTGAAATTAAAATTCACACTGACATATTTTACTTAGAATTTGTATTGAGTGAACAGTAATTTAACGTAAATGAAAATGAATCAATTTTTTGGTTTATTGTGTAGCCGGAAACTAAAACGTATAAATTACCATGAAGTCTTATTATTCACGATCCAGATTTATTTAATGAACAAAAATAAACGTAATTTCAGGGCTGTTATTAATAATATTATCAAAAAAACGCGTCCACGACTGGTTCGTTTTTTAAAGTTTCACTTTAAACCGGTTGATTTTAAAATTAGTTTTTTTTTTCACTAAAGATTAACCTTTTTTCAATTTCTTTTTACGAAACTAATGTTTTTTCGAAGCGTTCAGAATTCATTAAAGCCCGACGCCAATATATTATCATAATATTATATATTTTATCTCGTATAGTATGGTGTTCCGACCGTTCGGGGTTATTATAAATCAAAAACAACGATTTTATTCACAGAAGACCTACCTATAGGTATACGATTGTAGTTCATCATCGTTACCATTACTTAAAAACAATGATCGCATATTGCGGTCGATTATTAACAGGTAGGTCTGGTAGAGACCTTATAAAACCAAAAAACAAAAATAAACCACATAGTATATATAAAAAATTAAATGTATAACAACGTAGGTATGTTAAAATATGTGTAACCAAATAAATGTTTGATTAGAAATTTGATATATTTAATGTTCATACAATATTTATTTAAACCGAAATGTCTCGTATTAATGAAGGAAAATCTTGTAAACCCATATTTTCTGAACAAATTATTTCGTTCAATAAATTTCCAACAGGAATAGTGAGTTTTTCATCAGAAATTATTTTAAAAAACCATTAAAACTCTGTACAAACTATTTAATTATAAATGTAATATTAGGTAATCATTTAACATTTTTTTTAATTTTTCCAATTATTATTGTATCCAAAAGGTTCATCCTCAAAATTTCCCTTACTTCAAAATACCTCACGTTAAAAATATCTTATGTTTGGTTAGGTTATTTTAACCTCATATACAAAATATCTCAATATGGCAATACAAAAAAAATATTATTGTTCTACTCATATATATATTAGCAATTATGCGTTAGTTGTAATTTCTGATTTCACTAGGTACACAATTGTACAGCGGGTCACATGCAAAGTCAATCAACTCTTGCAGAATTCAATCAGAATCAATGGAAAGATTCATGCGGAGTTATCCGGCCTGTTCCATAATGACAGACGGACAAAATGACAACGGTTCTGCCTTCTGTGTTTGATATTTTGGCTACGGAATCCTAAAAATTGGATTGTTTCGAAGAGATAATCATAATAGGAATAAATTAAATGGGGATATTTTGTGAATGAGATATTTCAACCAATGGATATTTTGGCATAAGCGATATTTTGAGGAGTAAATTGAGTAAATCAAGACGATTTCGATTTTCATGTTTAAAAATAAATTTTCGTCGTAACTCGTACATCGGAGGGACATGTTTGCTCTAGACTTCCGACTTATTTTAAAGAAATTTCGTACTCTATTGGATTGAATATCATTTAACGATTTCGGCATCGCCGAAAACACGATTTACGATGATACATGGGCTCATGAAAATACAAATTATCGGTTGAAAAAAAAAAGAAATGTTGAATAGGTACAGGTTCTTCTTTCATAAAAGAACACTAAGTAAACCCTGGCATGTAATCGTAAACCCGCAATATTCCAGTAAACGTTCACTTGGTTCGTTAATCGGTTTTTTCCTTTTATTCACTTTGAAAAGTACAAATTGATTACGCGATTTGTATTGATAGAATCAAAAAAAATTAAAACGATTGTCATTCTACCGTAATAAAATTTGAATACGATGAATGTAATTAAAAATAAGAGGTACGTCCAGAAAGTAAGTTAGGCAACAAAAACATGTAAATGTGTACATTTTAATATAAATTTTATTTGAATATAAAATACATGTATTACTTTATTTTTCAACATAGTTACCACCGTTGTTTAAGCACTTATCATATCGAGGTACTAATTTTTGTATCCCTTCATCATAGAAAGATGACGCCTGTGATTGTAACCATGCGCTAATAGCCTTTTTCACCTCATCATCTTCGTTGAAGTTCTGGCCACCCATAAATGATTTNGTTTCGTCACATTTGCTGTGTGCGGGCCAAAGATGGTCGGCCAGTTCGTTCTTCATCGTGAACATTTTTACAGCTTTCATTAAAAAGTCGCACCCATCTCTTAACCATTGAATCACTCATCGCATTTTCTCCATAAACTTCACAAATTTGACGATGAATATCAACTGGTTTGATATGATATTCTTTGCATTTAAAAAACGAATCACAGATCGTAACTCACATGTGGCGGAATTTTCTATTCGTTTATCCATTTTAAAACACTTGCCACGTGACGTACGTACACTAACTAGTCACGGAATGGTTTTAAACTGTTCCAAATAAGTAAATGAAATAATCGGATATGACCATAATTAAGATAATATCGCAAACGCGATAAAAATAGAAAACGAAACTTACTTTCTGGACGTACCTCGTATGTTTCAAAAAATGATAAAATTTAGACAAATTGCATATATAGGAAAAATATCGTATACAAATTTCTAAATATAATAAAAAATATTATATCGAATTATTACTATTCAAAATTTTATTTTAACGTTTGATTATTAATAATTTCGTCGTCTAAAATTTATATTATAAATAATAAAACATTATTATGAAATGTAGTGTATAAAATGAAAATTAATGTTTCGTTTCGAATGTCAGTTACCTCAATGAATATTTTTTCTTTGTCAAACGATATACGAAATTATAATTCACTCGATGTTATGCTAAATCAATTGCGCAGGTTTTTTAACAATGATTTACCCTTATTCTTATAAAACTATTTCTTTTCTTTTTTATTTTTCCTTTCGATCTGTCCATGTTTACATTCCGGCTATTACGTTCCGTAATTTTACTTTCCGCGTTTTTTCAGCTCTCCGAGATCAATTATTTCTAATTTCTATGGAGTCTCGAAATTGGGAAGGTAGGATACAGACGGGAATTCGAATTATATCTGTAAGCAACGAGAAACCATTTCTGATGAAAAAACGTTTCAAAACGGAGTTCAATTGATGTGTTGCTTTGTCAACAATATATATGTCATATTATGATAAAATGATTACAGACATGTGTGTTTCCATGATAACAATGATTGTTTGAAAATGATTATAATATAATAAAAACGGTTGCCAATGACAACTTTGATTTTAATCTTTCAATCTTCTTTTATCCTAAAGAACTAGGTTTTCCTCATTATCCTAAATATTAATGATAATTTCATAAAATGACCCCTTTATTGTACCACTTAGAGAATATTTACTTTCAGAAAAGGTGCTATAATTGATAATCGAAGTAAACTTTCTAGTAGAAAAAGTGTTCACGTTAAAAAAAAAAAAATAATAATCATTGTAAAACCAATAAATTTCTCGCTCCACTTAGAATCTAAAATATATTTAATTTAATTCTTATGCTAATAGATAAATATTATTTTTGCCTTTTTATATCTAAATATGTGCCTTTTCCAATTTTTTTTTCACTTATTTCTAAGTACAATAGTAGCATGTTGGAAGAAATAAACATAAAAATGATAACGCAATGTATTAACACACACTGAAATTAAAAAAAAAAAAACCAAATAAGGCTTTTCATTAAAATGCGAGTCGAGTCTGATGTCAATTAATCTGTGTAACAGATCGTTACACAACTCTGGTTATGGAAAATATTTCTCTAAAAATAAATAAACAATGACATTTTTAGATCCTTTTTATCGAAATATTGTAGCAAAAATATTCCATTCGAGTCTTACCTTTCCGGAAAGTTTACTTTAGCAGGAACGATCGAAGATGAATTTGTTTTTAATACAAATTAGTTAATTTGGCCGAGATCGATTCTATTTCTCGGTGAATTTATTTTAACTGTATGTTTATATACGTGTACATAAAATGCTCATTTTGACTTTTTTAACATTTAAAGTGCTTTGCTAATATTGCCTTCAAATCCGAACCCTAATGATAACCTATGTTGTTGAAGTTATAACATATACGAGTTTAAAAGTGAATTTTTTTTTCGAAAATGTATCACCTCGTAAATTGTTTTAAACGAAACAATATCGATAATTTTATGTTGGTACCTAACTACTTTGGTCTTTGATTAGACATGTCACGCTACATAAATCGACCGGAACCGATTATAATATTTCAATATCGTGATATAATGTAATGACTTCGGTAATCGGGACCGATGTGAAAATCCCGTAGACCAACAATCCACTTGGGCAGCTCTTGCCACGGTATATATTTTTATTTTCAGCGATATTTTGTCGAGTGCGGAACGGTTTTCCGGGACGTTTCCGGACGATATTTTCCCGTGATTTTCCGGATCACGAGCAATCAGGGGTCGGCCCGGCAATAAGTTGTCTCCGTAATATCATATTATTTAGGTCACCGGCGGTCGTTGCCGCCGTTGAAAATTCATATAATATTTTCACAGCGAATATAAATAATTTATCACATTGTGTTTACACGTCGCAGTACGCGCGTAGACATCATCGTTGTTATAGTAAATTATTAATGTGTCGTGCGCACAATAATTTTAACGTATTCCGCCGAGATTATCGTTTAATCTTCGTCTCGTTATTACCGCCGCCGCCGCCGCCGTCGTCGTCGTCGTCATCGTCATCGTCTCCACCGCGCGTTCGTTTCGAATTTAATAATATTATTACACGACGACGACGAGTCGCGCGTCACCGCAAAATCAACGAATCCTTTTATTATTAATATTATTTAAAACAACAATAATAAGTTTATCGTTTCCAAGGGCCTGCGAGCGAACCGTTTTTTTCCGCCCAGAAACGCGCTGTATAGGAAAATCTCTCGTATCTCGTATAGTTGGTCCGATTTTGATAATTTGTATATTATTCGTCGGAAAGGGGAATATTTCTTACAGTACGCGTTGGACTTGGTTTTTTTACTAATTTTCGCCGTGTTTGTTTTTCTTTATTATTTTTTGTATAATCAAAAACCAAAGTCCAATTGATCGTGTAGGAAAAATTGTCATCTTTCAAACGCAAAACAAAATTATCGGGTCACTGTACGATATGAAGCACGGTCGTTTTATCTCCTACACTTAATGAGGGTTCCAGAAAAAAACAGTTCGTGGGCCGGTCACTAAATTTAAAAATTAAAACTGATTTAACTCGTTAATTTTAAATGTTATTAATTTTTAAAAAGTCACTAGCAGGATCCTTAATAATAATCATTATTATACAACCAATTTCCCGGAATTGCTTTATTTTTATAAATTTTTCATACGTAGGCCATTCTATAATTTACATCGTTTCGCGTTTTAATAATGACAGTTTGTTTTGTGAATTTTCTAATGATCGCCATTAATCTCGAATATTCTGTACGAGCATTGACGGCGTTCTCGATAGTGGAGTACAAGTCGACGTCCGGAAATCCGTCCCAAAAATCTAATGACCACCAATACTATCCGTCATTCAATTTGTTTACATTCATCTGGATTTTCTTTTAATTGCTCCCACTTATACCCAATGGTTTTTTTTTTTTTTTTATTATTATTTAATTTGAAAATCGGCATCCATTCGTCGATACTAATTCAGCGCTAAATTTTGGTTATTTGTACGCGAGTATTTATTCCCATTAGTTTCGTGGACTGCTCGAAACTCAAAACCAACCTTGCGCTACTCAGGTACCACCATCTTAATTTATTACGCCATAATATAATTGCGTAGGTAACAATACTAAACGTTCTAATTATTATTGCGTGGTTATAATTTGAATAGGGGTACTTGTTAATGTTCATTACGTGACCCGAAATTGCCAAGGCCTTCATAACATTAATCAGACTCTCTACGGCAAATATCGTGTCCTTGTGTTTCCTCGAATAACATTTAAATACAAGGAACACAACTATTGGGTAACGCAATAGACAAACTAATTGACAACTGTAATTACATTATACAACATCCAAATAGAAAGGTACATATTATAATTCAGACCTCAAATAACCTGTTTATTTTCCGTTCCAATTTATATAAGTAGGTAGGTAGGTGGGTAGATATCGGAGACTGGTCCCATTATCTTGGACATTGTTAAAATATTATTTGAGTACCCACCCTAATTGTAGAAATCAAGACAGTATTGTCCTAATAAATCAATACTTTTTAGATTTTGAGCGAAGCGGGGAATGTATTGGACTTACAAAAACGCTTGATTTTTTTTTTTTTTTTTATACTATACGAATTTCTAAGATTTTAAAGTGTAGCAAATTTTCGGAAATGGAATTTTATCTAGTTGATATTTTAAGGGGGTCATTTTTTTATTTTTTTAAACAGTTTTCATAATAATCGGTGACCAATAGACGAATAATGACGTACGGTGATGGCGATTTCTCAACCATGGCTGAACTAACGTCGAGATGCATGGCTGCACATTTTATGTATTATTTTAAAATAAATTGTTGCACACTAAATTTTGTCTCATCGTAAGTTAATATACTCGAGCCATTATTTGCCAATCTAACTATGATTACATCTAATAGGATCTTTGATCTAAACTTTAAAATAAATTGACAATGAACAGTCTAACCAATATTCAGTATTCTCCCGTAGCATAGTTGTCGACCGAAACGCGTGAAAACAATTTATTACTTACATCAATATTTTATAATTTGATTATTTCGTTTTTATTAATCGTTATGAGGTAAAATTTCTTATTTTATAGTATGATGGATATGTATGTTACGGATAAAATATTATGCGTTCATCCGATGCTGAACGAATAAAAACGCCGAAAACAGTGTAAAATTGATTTACGTTATTGTAATTGTAAATTTACATTATTATGCATAATAACACCGAATATAAAATAAATTTCAACGTGTTCTTAAGCATCTTTTTTTATAACTTTAATGAAATAAGCACAAATTATAATATTATTATAAAATCTACCGACAGAGTAATTGTAAATGTTTTAATTATTTAACATGCACAAGGCGACTTGGAATTATTACTGCACAGCGTACACGCTATTTGTAGAATAGTAATATGTTCAGGGGTTAACGTCTAGAGTATAAAAATTAGTTCGTTCAAGAGTAAACAAGAGTTAAATACACTAGCGAATCTGTCTGATTCTGCACGCGAGCGTGTTGGAAACTTTCTCTGGTTTTAAAATATACTTTAATTAATGGTCGTATACACGTACATCATAAATAAGGAAGTCGGTATTATATAATACAGTACTAAACTCATCTTAGGGCGACGTTTTATGCACTGTATACGAGTATATTATTATAATATCATTGTAGTTTAGTGAAAATAAGTAACGAAACGCTCCTAAAAAAATTAACCTTTTAAAAAAATAGGTTTGGACGTGAATGCAATCATTTTCTTAATTTACCTTACATATTATTTTGTGTTCAAAAACCATTATAATATAAACTTCCTGGAAATACGAAAATGGCACGTCAAAAGTATTGACAGGTATCTAAATATTCATTAATCTAAATGAAATTGTAATTAGAGCAATCTGTCTGATCAAAGCCGATAATATTCGATAAAAATAAATTAAAATTGTAATGTATTGGTATTGCGTTAAAATTGCTAGTACTTAAAAAAAAATAAACAAATACGCTCTCCGATAGCATGTAAAGTGTTTTTTATAAAGTATAAACGGGAGTAATATAATGTGCTAGAGAAATAAGTAATAGAAAAAAAGAAAGTAGAAAAAATCATTTGCGGAGGCGGGGGAGATCAATTAATAGTATATTTTTTTAATACATTTTATTGGACCGAGGAATGTATTAGTTTAACATATTGTGTGCTTATCGTTAGTTTGTATTTAATTCCGCCTAGAAAAATTTAATCGATCGGAAAATTGTCTCCGATTAAAACTACTGGCGGTCATACCTATTATCAATTAATACCTAAAATATCTTGGAGATATAATATTAATGTATATTTTAATAAATTTCGACGACGCTGTGTTTTTGTTAAATAAAAAAACTATATTTTGACATATCAGAACACAAAAGTGAACATTTTGCGGAATAAAATAATGGCGTATTGGATTGACATATAACAGTTTTATAGAGGTACGAGTAAAAAAAAAAGAAAGATAGTTCACGTATGTAGAAACCAAACAAAATCATTGTACTGTATTGACAAGAGCCAAGGGAAATTATATTACACGAGTGTTTAAAATGGACGTGAACCGAACACAATTATAATAAAAGCCCCACCAAAACAAATAATGACAAAAATAACGTAAATGCGTACGGTATGAAGTCTCGAAAAAATAACCGTGGTTACCCGACATAAAAATGATGCGATTTTCAATATGATTATTATGTTACTTTTAAGCCATCCGATCAATTCGCATCTGTATAGTTCGCCTTGTCCTAATGATATTTCATCCGAAATAATTACGAGTTAGAATAAACATAATTATTTATGCACTGCCAACCTGAATTTGATTGGGTCAAATATTGTAATGTGGCTCACTCGATTAGTAATTTAGATTTTACATCATTATGCCGCGCGTTTAATTACAAAAGTTTTTATTTTTTTTTTTTTTTTAGCGTGACGATTTTTATGTTTAATAATTTGTATAGGTGGAGAGGGTTTAATTCAGGCCTGACTTGCTGCTCACATCTCTATCCGTGGCTAGGTGCTTTCTATTTGTATTCACAGTTCTCGGGAGCTAACGGGGATCTTTCTTGATTCGGTCACTACATCGTCGTGTTCGTCCTCTCCGTGAATTCTTGACTGATTTTTGCATTTTTTTCACATGTAGCAGTAACCCTCTGCCCACCAAATGTACCGTGTCGAAATTTTTGAGAACTCTGATTATATTTGGCTGATTAAATATTGTACTCAACTTGGTATTTATCCTTCAATCTTTTTAATGTCCTCCTTGTTTCTCTTGGGACCATATATTTTACGGAAGATTTTTCTCTATATTTTGGTCGACTTAATAGGTCCGCATGCATACTGTACTTTATAGGTCGAATAAGTACGTTATACTGACTTATAATAATTATACTTTGATTTTTATTTAAAAACATATAACTTCATACCTTTTACCTTTTTTAATGACTATAATGTCTCAATCGAATGATACATTTATACTGACCAATGTGCATAAAGTGTTTTTAGTAAAATAATGCATAAAATATACCAATATACGATGACAGGAGAGAATCATAGAGGATAGAGGAGTTGTGATTGTCGGCCAGGGATTAGGGGATACGGTTAAGGCAATTTCGGACCACGAATAATAACTATTGTCACTGTGGTATGGCAGTAGTGGTGACGGAGAAAACGAATTTATAAGCTTATTTATAGAAGCACCACCACCGATGGACAAAGGAAACCCATTTGTTGGAGAGGGGGGTAGGAAGGGTGGTCTTTGTTCGTCACAAATAACGGTGAACATGTTATTGGTCATTGGTGATAACAATAATCAGTCATGAGCGTTCGGTTTCTGCTCGATTTCGATCGTCGGTGGTACAATACGCGAAGTAAGCACACAAAAAATTGTATCTGCGTGGGCTGGCATAAAAGCCAAATACCACGCGACACTCTGTCTTCAGAGGAGCCATCACCAATTTAGGACCGTTTGGTAGGGTATATTTTTGCATATATCTCCGATCGGTCTCACCTCTTAGGACTCTATATATTTTTGTAAATGTTTGGTAAAACAAATATGAAATTATATTTTAACCGATACAAATATTATGTTATTCAATTCTATCTGTTCAATATGGTTACGTTAAAAAAAAAATTCGTGCTATTTACGCTCGCCTAACCAAGAATAACGATGGGTATACAAAGCGCGATCTCGAATAATTTGTCAGCATGAAAATCGGGGATTCAACACGTTTGGGTAAGTAGATATTTTTTTTTTTAAATACCTTATTTGTCACGAGTGTTTTGCACAGACACGCTCTTTTTGACAGAAACTGTCACCGCGGCCCGCGGGATACGGTCGTTCGGTAAATTGGCTATAATAATATTATATAATATAATATTTTATTATACTTATACGTGCTTGAGGTGCAATTGGTCGGATTTTCGGCACACAAAGTGGGTACAGATAAAGGATAAAAATCGTGACCCTTATCAAATAAGCTATCGGTTGCAGGCTGGATGTGTCGGCAATTTAGTCAGAAAACGTTTTTTTAATACGTTAAATCTGTATGCTGTTGATAATATTTTTAAAAAAAAAATATTTTTTTAATATGTACTAAATATTATACAAACGTATATTTAGAAACCAAAGTATATTTTAAAAATGTATTTACAATGAAAATTATAGAAAATATAAACATTTATACAATCATTTTATTATAGAATCAATATTTCCAAAATATTAATTAACTATGTTATTTTTGATATCTGGCTTGGCGCCACGACATTGAAATTACGATATGAAAATTGTGTCACAAACTAGCAGTATTGAAACAGGGATAATTAAAATTTATCTGAATATAGATAAAATACCAAAAACGTATTCTAGATAAAGATAAAAAATGAATTTAACTAAAAATATCTTGATAATAAATTTAAGATTATTTATGTCATAGTTAATATAAATAAATACCATATACCTAATTTTTTCGGATACAATGGCTACATTTTAAAATTTGATTAGTTATTATTTGATAAACTGTAATACCAGGGGATTCATTTAAGTGAGTACACTCATTATCTCGGAAAGTATCAACTTTTTCCAGATTTTTTTTTCTAAAACATTTAAGAAACCAGCTGCTCCACAATTTTACATTTGTGTTGTTTTTTGTCACCCTTATTTTTGGGAGTAAAACAACTACCTACTTTTGGCAACCTATATTAAAAAGTCCATAAAAAGATTGAGTATTACTTAAAATAAATTTTAGTGTTGACATTTTTTGTTTCCGTGGATCCGTTGACGAGATTTCCACTTTTAATTTAAGGTTAGATGAGAGTAGTGGTACATTATCAATACTCCGCGCGTCGTATCGCCACACTTATGATTCTCCACTACTCTCATCTCACCTAAAATTAAAAGTGGAATATCTCGTTAACGGATCGACTAAAATAAAAAATGTCAACACTAAAATTATTTATTTTAACTAATACTCAATCTATTTATGGACTTTTTAATATAGGTTGCAATTTGAAAATCAAAAGTAGGTAGTTGTTTCCCCCCCCCAAAAAAGGGTGATAAAAAATAACACAAATATAAAATTGTGGAGAAGCTTATTTCTTAAATGTTCTTGAAAAAAAATTCCGGAAAAAGTTAATACTTTCAGAGATAATGAATATACCCACTTAAATGAATCACCCGGTAAAATAATATCGGTTATGATTAGGAATTTTAACTTCAATGTTCAATTAACTAACATTAATTTTTTTTTAGCGAAGAATGTGTATTAGTTTTACTACTAGACGTATACTTTTTGGAATAGAATGCCGCTATATTTTTAATCAGCGGTTTGTAAGTATTTGAATTTACAATAACGTATGATGAAAAACTGGAATTTTACAATTGAACAAATGTTTATTTTTGTCCATTTATCCGAGTGTCAAAACTTAGGAAATCAAATCTGGAAAAGTGACCATTTGGAAAATCAAAACTTTGCATGAGATAATTTGAAAAATCGAGTAGTGAAAAATCAATTTCGAAGTATTCTTAAAATCCAACAGCATAATGTTGTCTTTCCAAATTTTATCGAATTTCGAGATTTTTTAACCCCGTTTTAATCTCTTAAATCTGCCTTTTTATTTACAGGTGCCAAGGGAAGCTTACTTCAGCACCTGCATCGGAAATAATGTACTTCAATCTGATACAAAAATGACAGGACGGAATTCATAATGTTTCATATTATTATGCTATCGTATTATCCCTTCTACTTTTAGAATTTTCTAAAGTTTTGTTTTGTTCTTAATTCTTCTTAAAATATTTTCATTAGTTAAGTACTGCGCAACACCGTGACATCGTGAGCATCTTACGATAACGTCGCATTTTAAATGTTTCAGGCTTTTACTTCTCGATTGCACTCACTGTCCAGATTTACTTATTTACATATATATATCATCAAAAAGCCTGTATACTCATGATTAAAATATCGCTGATATATACTGCAGTTGGTGTGTACGGTCAACGGTGGATTTTCGTGGACATAAAAACAAAAAAATAATAATAAAAAAAAAAAAATCCTAAATATTTCGCATGCGTGAAACGCGTCTGTTATTTTCGCAGGGCCCCGCGGAGAGAACGCATTAAATCCGAGTACACCGGAGGAATCACGTCGTCAAGATTTATGGAGGTTTTGTTGACATTTTTCGACGGACGAGATATTTTTTCATTTCCCCGGAGTTGTAACGCTGCCCCTTTCCTTCCCCCCTGCAGGGCACCTAGGTCCTTTGGTCTCGTATTTTATTTATTATAATATTATATGTATTTGTTTGTTACTATTATTATTTATTATATATAATTTTTTTTTATACTATCCACCCTGTTACTCCGGGCGAGAGAACGCGCGTCGGCGACAGTAGAAAAAAAAATAAATAAAAATCATAATAATCATAAAAATTACAGTACGTGTACGCATTTCAAAACGAAACCGCGGCCGTAATAGAATATTAATGTTATTTTCATTCCGCCACGGAGCTGAGGGGTTAATTGTTATACTTATATGCACTTTGATCTCGTGCTTTCACATATATAGGTGCGGATTTAACTTTCCCTGGAGAGCAAAAAGGTCTCGACGCGGATCAGCGCCATTATAACGTATAAACTGCCGGGAAAACCGTGTGATGATTTTTCAAACGATTTTTTTTTTCCTCCAATAGAAATGTATATTCGCGTCGACCTTTTACAGGTTTTATTTCCGTCCCTAACGCATACATATATATATGTATATTATTATGTACGTGTTAGACCGATAGAAATTCGGGTCCATTTATTTATATAGTGTCCCTTCGCGTAGATACCGACAAATAGTCTCGCAGCTCGACAGTCGACGGTTATCTGGCCGGGAAATTAACATAACATTATTACTGTGTATAAAAACGTCCTGAACTTCGATATATCTTCTACATGAATAGTATAAAAACTCCGCAGTATATTAATTTATTTTACTATATAATATATTTATGTATATATATATAAAAACAACAAAAAAAAACCAAAACAAAACTACTGCAACGATAAATCGTTATTTGCTAACGAAAAACGATTCCGAGTATTGCGGAGCGTGGCGTTTAAACGTTTTATGATAAATTTCAATTTCAATACATCAATACCTATTACAAATTGTTTGTATTAGTTTTTGACTAGAAAATAATTTCAAAATTATTCTATAGTTTTTACGGGTTTCATCACAATGCGAACTTAAAACGTTTATATATATAAAATAAAAATCACAGCTACATGGTGGGCGAGTGTACCTATGCAGGTGCGTATAGAGTAGATGCGTGTGTGTGTGTGTGTGTGTGTGTATGTGTATGTGTGTGTAATGTGTGACTACAGGGACTGCAGAGTGGAAGATGTGGGGAGGGAATACCCGGGGAAGGAAGAAGGGTACGGTCAAAATCAATAAGCGAACCGGAGTGGGTTTTGCGTGTGGTGTGTGTACGAAATGAACGGCCGCCGATATCGAGAGGCGCGAAAACCGCAAACAAACAACGGGCCGCAAAATGCCGCGAAATGTCGCGGTCGCCAAAGGTTTTCGGGCCACAGGAACGTGATCCAAAGGTTTACGGTGGACGGGTACGCGGGGTCCGATCGTTTTCGAGGGGTTTGGACGTGTGTGCGTTATTGGGGTAATCGTTATATTTGAACTTTTGAGATTTTCGATTACCCTCACATTTTCGTCGCATTTCCCACGGAAATAGAAACTAATATTGTATCGTAGTCTATTCCGCCCGTTATATAAGATATTATCATATTACGTATCTATTTCCCGCAAGTTTTTGATATTTTAATGACTCCCTCTGAAACACAGGTGAACATTTAAACTTGGGTGTTAACTGCTGGGCCCGATTCGCTACGTGTAGGCCGGGCTTAATTTGGCGCCCTGGCGGAAGGTTTAGGAGTCTGCACGAGAGGGAGCATTCATAAATAACGTGCAAACATTAAACTTATATTATGTTTATGTATATGTTGTATACCTATAAGTAAACTACGAATATTATGAAACCCACTTTACTCGACATTCATGTGCCAACGTGCATGTTCCTACGTACGTAATAAACACGAAAGCTGTAGTCATTATAATACCAGGCGATCTATTCAAGTGGCTATACACTCGATATTTTGAAAATGACTAACTTTTCAAAATTTTTTTTTCTTTTTTGAAAATTGAAGAAACAAGGAGCTCTAAAATAATACATTCATATTAATTTTCGTAACCATTATATTTGGTGGTAAATCGACCAACATTTGATTTTCAAATAGTAACATAATAATATATTAAACATTTCAAAAACAGATGTAGTATTCATTTTGGTGTTGACAGTTTTGTTCTCCGTCAACTCCTTGACAAAATATTACATCATCTGCTCGACGATTAAAGGAACTCTCGGTTGAGGATTCAAAATTCTGTGATAGTGCTATTTTCCATATCAGACAATTTTAAATATTATATTTTAATTTAAATTACTAAAATAATTAACAATATATGTCACATGGTATGAATTAAAAAAAAAAAAACAACTATAACCAATTAATGATTTTATAAAACGTTTTTTTTTTTTTTTTGACGCAGTGGTATGTGAAACATAAAGTTACTCAATACTTGCTATGTAAATTGAATTAGTTTTACAGCAATTTGGCTACAGTTTCTTATCTTAATAACTTTAACGCTATAAAACATCGTTTATAACCTATCACTGATAAAACTAAAATGTATTACTTTATTTCGGAACCAATTTATTAATTTATATTATTGCCGATGCAGTTGAACCGAGGCTCGTGTAAGCTTAGTATCTTGGCGTGTAAATAATTCGCAAGTACAATAAATTACGAAATTTCGGTTTGAATGTGGCAACATCGCATAAAATATTCTCAATTGTGTCGCGAAAAAGAAATACGCTCACCGTATTTTACCGGCCACTGATAAAAAGTTATAAGTTTTTTGAAGGAATAAATTGAAAACAAAACAGTTATTTTTTGGTGTTCCTCCCTACTATTTAATATTGACCGATTGGTATTCAAAACAAATTAAACGCCAAGTAGCATATCATTGGTTATTCAGGTCCTGAGTATTAGAATTGTTCTATAGGTAGATTGATATGACAATAAAAGTCGGGTTGAATTTCAATATGAATTTCAACGTGTCGTTGCGAAAATATTACTCAACACGTGTGATATCACTTTTAAACTTAATCGAAAGTGAATTTGAAGGTTTTCTAATCAATCGATATTCTTTTTTTCACGAATTTTACATACACGTAAATATTGAGAGTGCGATCTCACTTCTTAGAGTGCGTGTGTATTTTTTTTCATTTCCCGTACGTTTAGATAAACGACCATGTTTATGTGGATATCGAATCCGTTCTCGAGGACCCTCGTGGCGCGTTATCGGATCGATATCGTGTCGGGACTACGAGAACTGATGCAGGAGTTATTTTTTGAACAGACGAGGGCAAGGGGGAAGAAAAACCCTATCCGTTTTCGATCCCCTATTAATTCAGGAGGAACGACACACGAGCTCGTGCAAAACGCAAAACTGATCATTATGGTGGCATGCGATTTTGCCGTACTCAGCTCGCGCTTAAGCACGTGTCGATGACGTCACCGTCACGTCTTGGATGCACACAGGCATTTCGCGGTCCTTTTCGGCACCTGTGTCTAACTATAATCGCTATTGCTACCGTATCGGTAGGTTTTAAACAATTTCCGCCGAGGTTTTATCGTCGCGACATGTTCTGAATCTGTATAGTATTTCGACACGGATTAGTTGGACTACTCCAGTGTAACCATGATATTATACCTAGTTCTTAATTTAAGAAGACGCACTCACGCATTTGCTGTATACATTTTACAACATCGCAGGGTGTAGGAAATTTGCGTCCAGCAGAACAAATTATATTCCTTTTATTACCAAAATTATTGAATACCAATACTTTTATTCCTTTATTTTACACACAATCAACATATCAATTTAAACTATTTGGCGATGATCATCCCATCGATGTTGCAAAGCAATAAGAAATCTGAAAACGAATTTGAATTCAACCATTGAAGTATGTATGAAATCGCTCAGACAACTTTTTTAAAGTTCATTTAATTATTATTATTTTTTTAAGTACACTTATAAATTTGTATAACTTTAAATCAAAATTTCCAAATAAAGGACTAAAATTTTAAAAAGTGGCCTGACCGATCTCATTTAAACTTGTAACTGAATTCATATCGTTTCACTACATCGCGATCGATCGGACTAATTATCGTCAAATTAGTCTGCATCATTATGTTGCGAATGTGTTAGAAAAAAAAAATGTATTGGTATCCAATAAATGTCTGAATAAAACACGTGTTTTATTGAAACCGTGGATCCGTGCCACAAGTACATGGATATTTATTTTTGATATTCACGCAGCATTCCACGTGACATGTATATTCACGTGTATATTCGTGAATGTATACGGTTTTTTTTAATTCCAGATTACACGGTCTGAAACACGAAATTTATAATTTCACGTGTAAAAAACAGTAGTCTAGTCTTCAATTCACTTATTGAGAATTGAATTCTAATCATATCTACATAAATAACAGTAAAAACATAGGATGGTTTTGTGTGTTCAGTATTGCCGGTGTTTTAGTTTTTAAACGGTATTATTTCACGTACTCGCCAAAAAATTGAACACCGATAAAACCAACAGACAAACAGAGAATATACAGATTTGTAAATCCTCAGAAAGTATTACATTTTTCCATAATTTGTTTTTAAAAACATTTCAAAGGTTTTTCGTTTCATTAATTGTTCGAAATAAAAACAAATTTTTTTAAAAAAAAAACATTGATAATACACTTTCCGAAATAACGAGCGTCTTATCGAGGGTTGTTCACCTATGTATACTATCGTGTGTTTCCAAAGATTGATGCGTGTATGATGCCTTCCCTATATATATATATATATATACCTATCGGCTACGACTATTAATTCTGGTATATGCGGAAAAAAAATTAATAATTATTGCGATAAATGCCTACGAGTTTCGAACGTTATACGACATTAATAATAATAATGTTATTGAACTTCCGCGTGTCGGACAATACTCGTTCTGCACAGCAAATCGGAAATACACCTCGATCCGCTATACGAACCCCCCGAAATGTGGCTACGAGTAAACTTCTACAATAATGACCTTTTTACCTGTATTTAAAACATAGTGTAAACTCTTACATAATCTCTTTTTACCTGCCAAAAATAGATGGCGTAATCTCCTACACAGATCTTTTTTAAATTTTATATTCTGAGTGTAGCGATGAATGTATATTGGTTTTATAATAATGTTAATTTGACATAGTTGCAAGTGGGAAAAAACGTATGATTTTACGATTTCGTTATTTTAAATCAACACACACGACGTTTTAAACTAGAAATAGTTCTCTAGTGAAAAAATGATAAGAGACCTTTATTGTTGCATTTTGGATAAATATTTGTAAAAACTTATGAATTTAAGATAATAAAATGAAATATAAAATGTAGTAAACATCGTAAGGTATCGTATCGGAAATTCTCAAACATTTCGACAACGTCTACTTTATTTCCGTAAATTGGAAATACAGTAATATCTACCTCTTATTTTTGTAGTTTATGACTGATTTTTACTTATTTTAAAATACCTTATTTTACTTTTTACAATTTTACAAATATCTAGTGTAGGAGTTAACATTATCTTTTGTAGAAGGTAACACTATGTCGATGCAGGAAATTGCCTACTTTTGTAGGAGTTTACCATCCCTCGAAAATGTTACGCCAAGAACGTCAAATCCGTGTAGAAAAATAAAACTTCCCCGTATGCATAGGAGTAAGCGTGGGAGGAATCGGGTTGCCGAAACTGACCCCAGAAAGCGCTTATACACACCACCCGGGCAACAAAATCATATAATACTTAGTCCGGTGCGATAGTACAGATTCCGGTGAGCGAAACGGGCCTACGGAAGAGCGATGTCCCGATCGGTCGACAAGACGGATTACCGACCGATATACCGTCAGTTTGTTTTCGCATTACACGTGCTAGTATATACTTACTGGAAAAAGCGCTGAAGGTAGGCTACGGTATCTAAACAAAAAATGTAAATGTTTGGGAAATTGGATTTTTCTTCTTATTATTATTTTTTTCTTTTCAGAATTTTTTTTTCAGTCTCCACACACTTACCGAAATAATACTTTAATAATACTCGTATGACCGTTGCAACAAATGTAGTTATATTTCACCTCGGAAATTGTTCCGGATAGTTTTATATGAGCGCGTTGGTTTTACTATGAGGTGTGTAATTTGTTTTTCCTGTCCGAACAAAAATCGTTTAACCAGAAATCTTATTTCATTTAAAAAAACGACAAGCGAGGTTTTTTTTATAGCATTTTGGAACTAATTGATGCGAAAAACTAGAAAGTTAACGGTAACAACAATTTCATTATTTTTTATTTTGGTTTTCTGTAGTAATAAAGTTAAAAATAACCGTAGATACATAAATACTAAGTCATATAATACTTACGTTAGCTTTTTCTATACGTGCTTATATTTTCAAAACATTCTGGAAATTTTCGTGTTATTTATAGGCATTTTACATTTTTTAGGTTTTTTAGTTTTTATTTCGTTTTAGATGATAAAGTGGTTTTGGTTAAACAAATTACTTAAAAAATGAATGCTACATTCATTTTAACTTATAATTAATTGTAAAAAAATAAATAAAGATAAATTTGAACGTCGTCTATAGTAGGATTTTTATGAGCGATTTAGCTCAAATTTTGATGAAAATCGTATAAATTACCACATTTAATAACAGGTATAACTGAACTATATTGTGAATTGTATTTCGTCATCAATGGTTTATCATTACGTATAGATATGTAATGTAAATGTAAACCCTTTGGCCTACAAGAGCGGCATGCCACTCAGAAATATGAGCAACATCAGCTCTTTTTTAAATATATTTTTTGCTGAATCGTTTATTTATTGAAATATATACAATAATATTTGAAAACCGCGTTGTAAGAGTGTAAACGATGTTTTGCTATAATTTAATCAAGCGAAAACGATATAAAATGGTCCAATAAACAATAATGTACAATAATCTCGTTTTTGAGGGGAAAAAGCCTGTCAGTTACTGCATTTCACTTTGGCTGGGCAGCAAATTATAAACTAATCGGCCAGACGTCTGCGCCAAAAATCCGATCCCGCATAAAAATAATACGAATTGCGAATGTAGACGATGTTATATGTCAGGCACCCGTCAACGGTCGTTTTAATATCATATACGGATCAAGTCTTAGAATGCGTCCCTATTTGGACATTGTTATTAAAACATCGAATTAAATGTTTTCGAATAGCTAGTATAATAACTATTTTGTTATATTATAGATATTTCGTTCTATGATATTTTATTATGGTTGCTATTGAAAAAAAAAAAAATGTATTACAGTAAAAATATTATTATAATAATTGGTTCCGGATGAGTCTGGTTTGCAGGGACTTACACAGAAAAAAAGGACGGAGGGTGTTTTTCAAATCAGTTATTAAAAATTGAAACAATAATATAACATTGAAATGGAATAAGTAAATGACCATACAAAGACCAAACATTTCGGGTGATGTTTGAACATCCAAAACACCTCCCCTGTGTACATATCTGCTGGTTTGTGATTACGTATATTGTATTACGATTAATTACACTTAGGATAATATTTAAAAGTATTACAGTATCTATATTACAGGGCTATGTATTAATTAGGTCTAGGTGTAAGTCTGCAGGTAAACAAGATAAACAAAATAATGATAATATTATGGTATTCACGACAGAGTATATTCAATTTAATTCTACTTTAGTATACTAGGTAGCACGTCACAAGTGTGGGCGATTACCTATGGTATTTTCCCCAACTAAGTTTTCAAATTAATGTATGTTAAATGTATACCTACTTGTCTTAGTAATTTATAATCATCAAAATATTATGTATATTTAGTCATACTATATTAGGTTATGCGTTATCATCCGTGTTATTTAACTTGGCGTTAGATAGTGTGATAAGGAGAATCCCACTGCGACAATCAATGGAAGTAAATGAAAATCACACCCTCCTGGCTTATGCCGATGATATAATAATACTGATTGAAATAAAGCAGGATACTGTAAACAGTATGTCAAAACTAATGAAAGTTTGCAAACACATGGGATTGGTGGTAAATCAGGAGAAAATCAAAAAAATGTATATAACTAGAGAAGTACGAAGCGCTGAAGAAGAATTAGATTTGCAGGTCGACGGGATGTTCTTTCAACAAGTTCATGACTTTAAATATCTCGGGGTCAATATAAATAATAGAAATTGCATGCATAATGAAATTAATCTTCATTTAAAAGCTGGTCATGGATGTTATTTTGCTGCGTTGCATCTGTTCAAATCAAAATTATTGTCTAGGAAAACCGAAAAAACATTATATACCATGTACCTCAGACCAGATTTATCGCGTGTTTTATTAGTATCACCCTGTATATGACTCAACCTTATAAACATTCTACTCTGAATTTATGTTCTCTTTTTTTGTCAGTCCATTAAGAAATTAAAAGAAAAAATCGACTTGATTTAATTACGATTTACAATCGATCCTGATAATTAAAAGTAACACGGTTGTACACGGTATAATAATCAGAGAAATAAATAAAATCTAATTCTAAAATGTAAAAAAAGTACATAGTATTATATTTAAAAATATATTCAAAAATATTGATATCGTACTTAAATATTCGTGTTATGTATTCCATTGAATATTCGTATTCGAAATACATTTAAAAAGTAATATTTATTTACTAGTCTGTGTTTAAAGGTGCATTACGCAATAAAAAAAAAAAAAAAAACTCTTGCTGGTCGTAATATAAACAGATAATAATATACTGTTTTTATAAATACCTAATATTATTATAATTATAATTACGGAGTTTAGAGACGCTTGGCTGGAACGTCAATCATAGCATATCTGTTTGATGTATATTATACAATTATTTCCCGTATCGTGTTTTTTCCCGTAGGTTTTTTTACCTCTACTGTGTAGTAGTTGATTTAAGCCCTTTCTCGTACAAAACCATAGTATGCAAAACGAATATTATAGGTTTTTTTTGTAGAGCGTTTTCACATTGGCAACTTAGTTGCCGACTATCGAGTTGCTGGCAATCTAGGATACCTTATATCGGATTCAAACGGACAACTTGACGGTAATAATTATCGGGCGACATTTGTCGAACAGTTTGCGAATTTACTACCGAACTATCGTGGAAGCAAGTATCGCAATAGCATGCACGAAAGCGTGATAGTTGATAATTTCTATCACGAGGTTTTAGTATGATGATGTATGCAAGAGCGCACACTATAACGATTTGGTGCCGGCCAATTAATAAGTTTGATGAGCTACACGATTTCGTTCAAACTAAACAGTCGGTGAGCTATCGGCCGACTGCTTAATCATTATAGCGCTCACCCACAGCTAGCACACTCGACTCGACCGATAGATTCATTTTGATACGGGAAGGCACCGCGATGATGATTTCGTTGCTTGTTGAAACATTATTACAAAATATTTTAATAGGGTAGTTTGTTGTGTTGAATCGAAAATCAAAACGTATTATAATACTCGAGTGTAAAAATGATAACAAACACTATTCAAAAATGCAAAAATTGTCCACCACGCATAAAACGTCTGGTTTCAGCGTTCAGTACCGTGTTGTACAACAAGTTAACTATATAGTGTTTTACACTTCAATATTTTCGATATCATAGCGCAGGTATATATTGCCAATTTTCAATTCTTCACTCTCCAACCACCGACCTATTTTATATTTTAGGATAAAAAGAAATTCAAATTCCTATTTATTTAAAATTAAAAGAAAAGATACAATAATATAATATGATATATGATTTAATTATTAGATAAACATACGCATACTAATATATTGTGATGATGAAAAAAGGAGCGGCAATCCGTTCACCCGCAAGAGGTTATCTGTGTTATCACCGGCCACCACTGAGCATATTTTTATTTTAATATTACATATGAAAAAATTGACTATACTCGTTTTTCTTTTAATACGTCATAAATTCACCAGTGCTGCAAAGTTTTAAACAATTCAAGTAGTCTAAGTTTTTCCGAACAATTAAAGAAAATCCCACAAAAATAAAAATAATTTTATTTTAGTGCTAAATGACGTCCAAATGATTACCGAAGTAATGATCCAGAGAGTGGCAACAGGTGCCATATTATAAAATATTGATGAGTATTTGCCACCCCCACCACCTACCTAAGGAAAAATAAACACAATTGCTATTTTCACTCTTATGAAATCTATTGTATTGAATAAGCCTTCAAGCAATTCACAAGACAACTTCAACAAAACAATTTAGTTTCAATACTCTTACTTTATTGACCAATGATAATGTTATTATACTATTTCGGTATTTCCGATGGTTCTCGGTCATTTCCGCATAATAAAATATGACCTCTCCGACAATTTTAATTAAATACTGACATAGTTACCAAAGTCGGGCTACGTACGTTTTGTACAGCACTTCGTTCCAAATTAACTGATGAAACTTCTGGTGATCTTTTGACTTCCTTAAATGAGTCTTGTATATTTTATGGCAATTTATTTTTATAAAATATAGTTGATAGAAAATTCAAAATAAAAAAAAACCAACTCAATATTTTAACGTGATTAGATATTTATTTGTTCATTGCGGCTACTTATAGTTATTTGAATAATCAAAATTGTATACAATTGTAAATTAGACGAAAATTACGTGAAGCATTTAAAATTAAGGTATCAATAAAATAAATGTATTAATAGACTAAACATTATTTACTAAATAATCATGATAATTTTAAACAAAACATTTATAGTTTTACTAACACCAAGATTTTACATGATTGTTTTTCTTTTTTCCCTTATATTTTTATTCTCAATGTCTAATTAACGTCGTCCATCGATGGCCGTATAATGATTTCAGAAACCTATAAAATATAAAAAAATATTTTATTTTTTTAAATATAATTATATAAAATAACCTGGTCGGTATATAAAACTTTCGATAATTTTGCTTCATTGTAGAATATTCTAATTATTTTATATTTTATTTTTATGTTAACGATCTTATTGAAAACCGATTCAGAGTAAAAATAGTATAAAGCTCGGAAAAAAATATGGATGTCTTATTAAAATTCAACAAATTCCCTACATATGATTTATATTTTTGAATTTACACAACTTGAGTGTTTTGTTGTTCAGTAAAAAATAATTATATGATAACAACAAAAATCTCGGATCATTTTGATATCATTCAAGTAGGATCTAATTACATTTTCAAAGTACAATTTATACATACGTTGACACGTTGCGGAGCACTCAATGCGTATAAAATAGCATCAGCTATATCAATGGGTTTCAATATTGAATTTTCATTAGTTATTTTTAAATCAAATTGCGCAGCCATATCAGTTAAGACTAAGCCTGGACTAACACTCTGAAAAAGAAAAAAATCTACGTTAAAAAAAATCGTTAGAAAAAAATCAAATAAAAGTAAACTAATAAATTACCGTCACTCGGATAGGCAATTTTTCTCTGGACATCAATATTCTCAAATATTCTGTAAGTGTTGTAACAGTGTTTTTGGTTGCACCGTAGATGTCAATTTTTGGAAAGTTGTTAATTATCTGATGACCGGTTATACTATATAGACATTTTAATAATTATGAAAAGGTGAATAGTTTCAAAGTCTATTTTTTTTATAAAATTTCAAAAGAAAACATTCAAAATCTATGATGATTGGTCAATACTATAAACATGTGAGCTAGTAATATTACGCATATGAAAAGTGTAACGAAGCAAACTCTCACTCATGCAAAAAGGGACTTTTTAAAGCAATTAATCCCATTAGATGACATACGTACGAGACAGGGAACTACAACGACCGGAACAGCTATCTGCATAGACCTCGTCGTCCGGATTTATTACCTCAGCTTCATATACAATAAACAAAGATAGATATTACATGTAATAATAAAAAAAAGCCGATTTTATATATGATCAACATGTTAAACCAACAAAAAGCTTCCAGAAGAACGGATCACGACTTTTATAATACATAAGATGCAAATAAAACTAGATTTAATAATACATTTTTCATTCAATACCTATTTACGTTGACTACGTGACCGTTAATTTTCAGCTCCTTCATAATGTTAATTGCTTCTCTACAGCAAATGTTGAGCCCTATGACGTTCGTGTCAAACAATAATTTCCAGTCATTCGTTTTTCCTGAAACAAAAATATAATAAAATAAAACTAAACTTCATTAATTTATTTCAGTGTTTTTAATAAACTCAAATAATTTACCTAATGAATCGGTTAATTTTAGCACTCCAGCGTTGTTTATTAAAACATCAACGGATTTCAATGTTTTCTTTACCCAAGCAAAAGCTTCGAGAATGTTTTCTTCGGAACATAAATCGACTTTGACATAGTAAAATTTGCCCTGTTTTTCTTTTAACTGATTTTCTAATTCCTAAAAACAAGTATCAACATAATATTGAAAGCTTGTATTTATAGAAATAAAAAGAAAGACACACTTCTTACGAAAGGTGGACCCCTGGTTAGGTAAGAAGTTGAGAAGGTAGGATATAGAAGAGAATTTAAAGAATATCAGTATGCAACGATTAATCTTTGCTTAAGAATAACGATTCTGAGTAAAGTTCGGTTATACATGTATTGAAAGGCTGTAATAATTACGATTTTTATCAAAATTTGACACAGATCACAGACAAAAAAAATTATAAACGTCATTATAAAAACTGTACATTCTCGCTTCACTCAGAATCTAAAATAAATTAATTTCTGAAACGTACAAATTATGAGTAAATTTACTTGTTATTGTAGTGATAATAATAATTAAAAGATAATATTAGGCTTTAAAAATATACTAATTACCATTTTTTTACAATCACTAGCATATATTCTGTGTAGTTATAAATATACTTAATTATACTTATGTTTTATTTAATACAAGTGTAGAACTAATTGATATTCATTATTTATTGATATTAAATTTATAAAACAATTCAATTAACAAAACATGAATGATGGTTTAATGTGTGCAATAAAAACCATAAGAATATTGTTGTTAATTTTAAATTGTTTTTTTTTTTTTTTTTAATATATTTATAATAACTAAATCAGAGGTAGTTTATGGAATTATGTTTCGTACGGGTATAAATAATATACTTATAACTAGGGTTAGGTTTCATCTAGAATTAAATACAAATAATAATAATAAAAAAAAAATTGGATATATTTCAAGTTTTTAGTATACAATTTCAGTAAAAAAAATACTTGTTAAAAGCTTATTTTAGTACATATTTTCATATATTTTAGAGCTAGAAGCTAGAAGAGCTCACGCCTACAGTTAATAAAAATATATATATTTTTTTAAAACACACATAGAAAATATATAGTACACCTAATTTATTTCTTTTAAAAAATTCACAAAGTACAGATTACTGTACACTAATGGAATCTAATATCGAGGTGAAAAAATACTAAAAAAAAAAAACTTAGGAAATATTTAAATTTAATTTTCCCTAAACACAAAATTAAACTATTATAAAAGGTGAACAACAGACATTTTAGTTCAGGCAAGACGTACGCTGAAACCACCACTGAAATATATTTATTTATTTATTTACTTTTTTTAGTACGTAAAATAAGTACGTAGGTATAGGTATGTTCAATTTTTCTTAAATATAACAATGAAATATATTAAAAGGTGAAAAACAAAATATTTTGGTACAACCTCCACTAAACTAAATATTAAATATACGTACTAAATATTTAATATTTTAACTCAAATTTCTACACTTAAAGTATATGGAGTAATTTAGACAATAATACTTTGATAAGTTATAATAATATACTTTAATATATATATATTGTATTATATACTATATCGAGTATTATTGTTACCAGATTTTTATCAAAAACTTACCCGAAGTTTATCTTCTCTTCTCGCCAATCCCACGACGATCATTCCCTTTTCAACCAATTGTTTACAAGTTTCTTCGCCTATACCAGAAGAAGCGCCTGTTACTATGGCTACTTTTCCTTGCCATCTATCCATTTTTTGATCAATGTTTTATTTCTTCTATTTGTAATCAACAAATCCACACAACGATCGAAAACTGTCGCGGTCGTAGACTAAATGTGTGGACTAAATGAAATAAAAATAAACTTAATATTCGTTTAATTACTCAATTGAACTTGATTATATGACAGTATGATACTGTAGAATATTACGAGTACATTGGTATGATAATAATATATCATTTTTTTCGAGTCTATTATTAGTGACAAATTTGCCGTTTTTTAGTTTTATTATAAATTACTTGTAAGAGCCCGTGTTCCCATCTTAATAGATACCCTGATCTAGGACAATTCAGTATAGATTTTAAAACGCAACGCGAAGAATTGTTGCAAAGAAAAGCCGTTTCCAAATGGTATTCCTCTTTTCGAAATACTAGATACTATTTTTGAAAATTAGAAATGATTTACCAATGAATTTCCGTATAGACATTCATAATGAAATTGGTTTTTACATAGAATATAATGTTTATTATATATACGGGATAATCAATTTATCATATAAACTCATTATCTTGTGGTTCATTATAAACACGCCGCGTGGCGTAATGCCACACAAATTATACACCCCTATTCTCCTCCAACTCAAACTTAACAGTGGAATATCTCGTCAATGGATTCACAGACATCAAAAATTTCAACACTCAAATTTATTTAATGATTTTACCCATAAAAATAAAGATGACAAAAAATAACACAAATGTTAAATTAAAGAGCAGCTTGTTTCTTAAATGTTTTAAAAAAACATAAGATATCGTAAAAATTCATTGCTCTGTATATGAATCAAATCTGATACTGCTTATAAATGTACAGGCTGAGATTTAGGACGGTAAGATACATAAAGTTATTTAAATTAAATCTGTATATGCAACCATAAATCATTAATAAGTAAAAACGATTCTTAGCGAATTTTAATTAAACACGTTTTAAAATACCATTTTTTTTTTTGACAATTTTCGTTAAAATTTGATTTTAAAACGCGTATAAAAACTTACAAACTACGCACAACTTATAATGAATCTCGTGAAAAGTTTTAAACATTTCTACTTGGCCAAATCCACATAAAATCTAATACAAATGGACAATGTCAAATGTCTATAAATAACTTAAAGTTCACAAGATTATTTTAAAAATGTTATGAAATTTGTAAAAGAGGCAAACATGTCATTTTTCAATTGGAGCAATATTTTTGGTAAAAATGTCGAGCGTAAAAATTTCAAGTAATGAAATCATACTCCATAAATTTGTTTGTTTTTCATTATTTGTCATTTTCTGTTTTCCCAATAATTATAAAAACTATTTGAAAAATCTAAAAACGATTTACTTCATTAGCAATTAGATTCAAAATGCATCAGAAAAGGTCTTAGGACATTTTTTAATCAAGGCAATTTTTTTAGTATAAAATGTAGTTAAAAAATTAAAAACCATAAAATCGGATAAAATATTTACCCTTTTACCTATAATTTTGTTTCCGGTATTTTCAATTATTTTGAAAACCCCTTGATAAATCAAAAAAAAAATGATCTCCCAACGCATCAAAAATATAAAATTTTCTTTCAGAAAAGTTATTAAATTCTATACATCATAGCAATATGTCAGGTAGAAAAGTTCTTCACAGGCAGAGAAAAAAAAAACTCATCATAAGAAAACCAATAATTAGATCCCTTGCTATTCACTTCGAATCTAAAACGCGTTATTATAACAACTGGTTATCTAATAATGTAAGAACGATTTCAAGCATTAAATGACGAAAAACCAAAATAGTATAAATGGGTAAATATGGTCATCTTTATTTTTATGGGTTTGTATGACTTATTGTCTCTGTTTATTTTCGATCTATAGGTTGGTTGTAGATAATATTTAAAAGTATAAAATTGTGTTTTTTATTATTTTTCCATTAACTTGAGTAGAAAATTTAATTTCACTTCGAGCGGGGGCTAAAATTATCCAAATAATACCGCAAAATTTAAATATTGCGAACCGCCACTGTTACAAGGGGAAAAAAGAATTTTTATATTTTCACCAAAATTTCTATTTTGAAAGCTGTTTACGGACATAATATATATAGTAAAACTATAACCAACACATTTCTCGCTAGACTCAGAACCTAATAATCCAAATAGCGAGCATGTATCGTTTAGTAGTGATTAACAAGTTATATCGAAACAAAAATAGTGTAAAAAAAAAAAAAAAAAAAAAAAAAAACAACGTAACAATAACTATTATTGTATTTAATTTAATTATTATATTTATATACAATAAAAATTATAAATTTAAAAAAAAAAAAAAATTAATAAAATAAATAGATGAAAAATAATCGACTCACACGATCTGCAGTATGCTGATGATGAATATTTTAGTACAATGGCGTACAATAATATAATAATGCGTGTATACAGACGTAGATATAACGTACGTATGTTAGCTGAAATCAACTACCGGCTGTGCGTATAACAAGAAACCGCAGTGGATTGGACGGAATACGAAACGAATACAAACGAGTTAAAAGGAATGTGAGTACGAGCAATACGACGGCCGCGGGTGATAAACAAAAAAAAAAAAATGAAAAGCGTACGTTCTCGTCGTAGCAATGTACCCGGCTCACTGAACAATCGATTGTGGCAGTTCGCCGCAGACACCAGTATTTTTTATCGATTGTAAAATAATGGTACTTCGAACATTATTATTAATTATACATTATAATTATAATTTAATTAATTTATTGAATAATGATACATTTCAATTAGATTCAATTGAAATATTGTGGACTGTGTCGAGTATTTATAACATTATGCTTTCATAATACTATTAGAATGCCCGCAGTCGCCTTTTCATTTTATATTTTAATATAAGAAAATTAAAAAAATAATAGTAATAATTATGTTTAATTGAACGGTAAATTATTGAACGGAAATTCTATTACAAAGACACTATGCAACCGGCTAAGCTGAATTTCATTAGGAAATAATTATATTTTTTCCGTTAATAATCTTTAATTTTTCTAAAATACATTATTGAACTATTTTAAAAGCTTAACAACAAAACATTGTGGTACAGGCCACCCGTATGATAGAACCTCCATTGAACTAAATAGTACGTATACGTATAAAATATTTGATAATTTAACTAAAATATCAACACTTAAATTATATGGAGTAATTCAAAAAATAATAAATTGATAAGTTAGAAAATAATTGTAATTGTGGTTTGATTTTTAAAAAAATCTTGCCTGAAGTTTATTTTCTCTTCTCGCAAATCCCACAACGATCGTTCATTTTTCAACCGATTGTTTGTAAGTCTTTTCGCCCATACCAGAAGAAGCGCTCATAACTACAGCTACTTTTCCTTGCCATTTGTCCATTTTTTTGAAAAATCTAGCTAATCAGCTAGATTAATACGAGTACGAGGATATGATGATTATATATAATTTTGTCGAAAGTAACATAAGTGACTACGTCGCCGTAATAGTTTCATTATACACTAATTGTAAGATCCCGTGTTTCCACTGTAATAGATAATATTATCTAGAATGATTTGTTGGAGATTCTCAAATGTAATACGAAGAGTTTTTGTAAAAACAAACTGTTTAAGAGTGGTATTTCTATTTTCGCAATTCCAAATACTATTTTCGAAAATTAAATACGTTATTAATTTTTATCTCAAGAACGATTTACATATAAATTCCTGTGGTCATTACGGATATCGTCATAAGATGACATTAGATATAAAATATATACATAAAAAAAAAAGAAAACTGGTACTGCTTTTTAGTATGTAGTCTGAAATTTGAAATGGTCAGATACATAAAGTTATTTTGATTATATCTGTATGAAACCATAAATTATTAATAACGAAAAGCGATTCAGTGTGAATTTCAGTTAAGCATGTTTTGAAATGCCATTATTTTTACGGTTTTAATGCATGTTGAAAACACCAAAAATTATAATCGATGATTTCGGTAACGTCACGACATGCCATAATTATTTACCATTTCACCTATAATTTTGTTTCTGGTTTTCCTAATTATTTTGAGACTCTCTTGAAAAATCACATAATGATTTTCCATTGCACCAACTGGATAATATTTCCTTTCAGAACAGGTAAAATACTCTATACATCAGAGCATGATTTCTAGTAGAAAAGTTCTTTACAGACAGAACAAAAAATAAACTCACCATAGGAAAATCAATAAATAAATCCCTCGCTTTACTTTGAATCTAAAATTACGCATCATTATAACAATTGGCTATCTATTCATATTGTAACGAAATAACGATGTCGAGCATAAAAGGCGAATAATCAATAGTAGTATAAGTGGGTAAATGCGGTCATCTTTATTTTTGTGAGTACATTTGATTTATTTATTCATTTAATGTCAGTTGTCAATGTTTATTTTGAATCTATATTTTTTTTGTAACTAACAGGTCTGATCGACAATTTTGTTAATTATTTTTGTTGATAGTCGCTAAAACTATCCGAATAACACTGTATAACTTGAGAATTACGAACCGTTTACTGTTCAATTTTCACCAAAATTTCTGTTCAGATGTTAGTTTACAGACACAAATCGTGTAGTAAAACTATAACTAACACATTTCACGGTAGGCCCAAAATCTATAAAATCAAATATTGGGTAGTATTGTTTAGTAGATATTAAAATATAAAAACGACATTTATAAATTTAAAATAAAAATAATAATAATAATATTGATAAATTAACTATAACCGAGTTACGCAAACTGCAGCAGGCTGTTCAAGTAGATTAATATTTTAGTACAGCGGTGCATAATATATAAATACGTTTATGCAGACCTAAATTGTATATAGTGCGTATGTTGACTAAAATCAGCTACCAACTGTGGGTATAACAAAGAACCACAGTAGATTAGATGAAACACGAAACGAATACAAATGAAATAAATACATGTGAGTATAAGTAGGAAAAAGAAGAAGAAAAATTATTTGCAAATAAACATCAATATTATCATTCATTATCCAGAGAGACGACGGCCAAGGGTGAGAAAAAAACAACATATGTTCTCGTCGTACATGTACCCGGTTCACCGAACAACCCTGGTATTACAGAAATAATAATGGACGATTCCGAATATTCCAGCTAGAGATAGAAACGATACATCGATGTTTATATTAAAAATATTCAATTTCCGATGATATCGATTATTATTTACATATTTATTCTGTTCGTCAATAATACTATTCTAGCGAACATCGTATACAAAGACACGACAATCAAAAATAACACTGGGAATCATATTATATGATATAATAAGCTGATTAATATTTAAATCACGATATATTAAACATTAATTGCATATATTTTTTGATCGAAATTTGATCGTAGTGATATTAATATAGGTATTATAATAAAAAAAATTATTAACAGAATTTTATGGAAATTACTTCCACGAAAAGACAAAGCCATACGACAATATCATTATAATAATAATATGTCAAGTCGTATTTTATGTGACAAATATGTCACGAGATTTTTCACTTGTATTTTGAGAAGTAAAAAAAATATTAGGTATATATATTTATGAATTCATAACGTCGTAACATAAAATTTGGTTATTTTGTTATTACATAACACGCTTTTCGGAGGAAATCCTTGTGCCTACAATATTCTCTTAAATCAATTTATCTTTAAAATTGAAATCTAGATAAATATTTTTAGGGCTCTCTACGAAGTCATAATCGTTACTAAATAGCCGTTGTTTAATAACGACTTTAGAATTTGGCTTCATATTATGCCCTAGAAAAAATCGTATCTATAGGATTTTAATTTTTAAAAATTTAGACTATTTATATATATATATATATATATATATAATTATTTTTTTAAATTTTACATTTAAAAATATTTTTTTAATATAAGTAACCCCTATAGCACCTTTATTTACAGTAAAATCAATTTTAAAAATATATAATATTTACTCTCCAGTAACGTCTTCCGGAGCCTTTATTTGTGATCTTGGTTTCACTTTAACACTTACTCTCAATCCGCTCAAGCATATTGAAGTTGCCTGCTACAAAGCCATCAAACTCCTATAGTTCATTAACCGAACCGCTCAACAATTCCATCTTCTGCTCCCACTCAAAACTCTTTTCTGCCCCTTTGTTCCTAGGATCTTTGAATACGGCTCCGTCCTCCGGGACCCTTCCAGGTCTTGTGACAAATCCGCTATCGAGCGTATTCAACGCAAATTCCTTCATTTATTCGTCTTCAGTTTTAACATCCCCCACCCACCTCATGATTACTCCTTCATTCTCCATGATTTACAGCTAACTAGCCTTGCTGATCGCAGGCACTTATCTAACATTCTCTTTCTTTCTAATCTTATCAACAAAACCTAATCTAGCAAAATAGATTATCCTTCTGTCTTATCTTATCTCACTTTTAAAATTCCTCCTTATCTTACCCGCTCACCACTACCTTTCATAATTCCATTCTCTCCTTCTAATTATTCTCTCAACTCACCTATTTCTTGCCTTATGTGCGCTGCCAACTTGGATCCCTCATTAAATATTTAACCTGTATCATTATGATTTGTATTTTTGATCTTGTCCTTTATTTAATATAGTAAATATAATATAACTAATATTTATAATCGAGAACACGAGAGTTGTTATAAAGGTATAAGGTTATCTAATATGACATCATGGTTTCATCAAACATGGTTTTAGTTTCAAGACGTACCAATTAATTTTTTTTTTACCAATTTAAAATTTCGAATTATGTACGATGTTAAATTTTAAAATGTAGTAACCACAACACAGTGTCATATTTTATTATAAACCGCGGATATAGCCGTGTATTGACTCAACCCTTGTCTAGTTCTTTCCCAGTATCAATTGAATTATCTGATTTTTTGCTATAGGCCTAAACCTTTGAAGCTCATTACTCTCGACTAATGTGGTTATTCCATCGGCTCGATCGCATAAAAGATACAGTATGCGTCAATACAAATTGTTTGATACCAATATCACCGTTTAGGAAAAAAAGAGACTTTTCTGATTTTTTTTCTAGTATTCTCCATATACAATAATATAATATAATAACAATAATAATATAATAGTAATATAACCAGGCCCGTCGCTAGGGTAAAAACAGGTTAGGCCATTGCCTAATAGCGGAAACATATTCAATGAAACTGAGGTGGCGTTTTTTACGATAGAATATTTGTTGTCTTAAGTTTCACAACTAATACATTTAACAAAATCCAACAAATCATTGGTTGACAATCGAAAATAAATCCGATAGATGAAAGCACGTTTCAAATTAATACTAGTTATGTAAGAGCAATAAGTGTTTGAGTGTGTAAGTAGGTACAGGCCTGTATTAAAAGGGAGCCAGAGAGACAACTGGATATCGTAGTATTGTGGGCCCCTGACGTTGGCTGATAGTCATATTTTGAATATATTTATGAACTCTTAAAATTGTTTGTCCCCAGGCCTAAAATCATCTTAATCCGGGCTTGGATAGGTATCTATTCTGTCATCTTATTTAATAGCGTATTGTATTTTATTATAATTTTATACCAATCGCTGTTATGCCTAACCTAACTCACCTGTTAACTTATCTGTTTTGTCGGAACCGTACTAAGTCTGAACCACATTTGGTCAGAAAATATATATAATAATATAGGTATACTGCCCTTATAAGCAAAATCGCTGTAAACCATAAGACAACATTTTTGGAAAAAACGGGTTTTTATATTTTGGATTTTCTAAAATCCATAAAACATCTTATATTTTACTTATCAAAGTATAATATGGATTTTTATATTGATCCTTGGTATAATTGGTATATAGAAGTATATTGAATAGACTCGTGAATAGAATCCATAGGTAATCGTGTAAATAACTAACAAATAACTGATGATATTGTATCACTTGTCAAGTTTCTGTTTTAATATATTAACTTTTATTATATTTTGATGATTTACAGGTTACAATATTACGATGAGACAATCTAAAAATTACCTCTTTAAAGTACCTCCCTAGTGAATTACCTTTTAGAAAAATTAATATTATTAAAAGTTGGAGCAAAATTGTTGGTTAAAAAGTTGTGCAGCGGGAAAAAATCTTAATATTTTCGTAATATATATATATTTCGTACGTTTTCCCGTTTTTGTCGATTTTTTTTAAATTTTGTGTGAAAACTCTTGAAAAAATCAAAAAAATCGAAAAAATGACCTCCTTAAAGTACTTCCTTACACTGATTTTCTTTCAGAAAAAGTATTACTCTTAAAAATCTGAGCAACTCTTCTTCTAAGCATCCTGGCTTCTTCTTCAAAAAGCATCTTATGCTCTCACACAATTATTTTATGGAAAATATTTTTTTAACCAAATGCATTCATTGTCATGGCAATGCTTCTCGCGCCCTCTCCCTGGAACCACCACTGTATACGTTTATCATGGGATCATGTTCATTTTTAGGCTAGTAAAATTATTAGGACTGACCATTTTTTAAAAACATTTTCTTATATTAATCGTGGCATCACGAAAACGGCTCTCTGGGTTTAAATATAAAAAAAAATAGAGAATCTAAACAAAAATATATTGATTAACATGTAGGAAGTTTCACAAAATTTTAATTGAAATCTACAGAAATTCAATTGTTATTATTCATTATATATTAATAATGTATTGAAATTGTGTACTATATATTTTGCTTTTGACGAAAGAGGCGACATTATATTTGCCAAAGGGCGGAACTTTTCTCACGACGGGCCTGATTATAATAACAATAATAATAATATCAATACATTAATATTATAATAAAAAAATACGCGTCAACCGTTCAAGTAAACCGCAATATTTCAATAGTGTTAATATCGAACCGTCAAAATACGGAAATGGAACAGTTCCAAAATGTTTAGTCGCCGTGTACGCACAATGTGCACTTTGTGAACGTATGAAATAATGTATCGTCGAAAAGCGTAAAACTGCGGAGGCGAATTCCCGTCGGGCACTGCAGAGGATTTGTTGTAATTGGTTCCGGTTTATATATTGTATAAATCTGACATATTACAAAATAAAAAAAAATAAAAAAATAATATAGGTAATGTTATACAACGAGTAGGTAATGTTGGTATTATACATAGAAAAAAAAAAAAAAAAAAAAAACGGTTGAATTATTCGTTTTATCCGGATACGGTCACGACCCGCGTCCCAATCGCGACTTTCGTAATGAGCTGTTAGACCCGAGAAATATTATATCCGTATTTGCAACCGTTTAAAACCCAATAAATATGCGACCTCTAAGGTCACCTAATTTCAATAACCGTGACAATAATTTTACAAGATGATATTATATAATAATATTTACGCACGTGCAATATTATCGTGAAGGGCGTATCTATATAAAATTAGTTTTTAGAAAAATAAAAATGGTTATTACAAACAGAAACGGCAGATATAATTTAAATATAATATCATCAATATTTAAAAATAAAAAAAATACTATTGTCTATTAACACGAATTTTTAAACTAATTCTAGAAAAGAAAAATATGCGGTTAACCTACTTATGATATTATTAATTCGAAAATTTACTTGGAGAGATGTTTGCTTGTTTTACTTATCGCCCAAACAACACATGATACTGAGCAGACACTTTGCAGTTATAGATCAGAAACATAAAAACAGATAGTGATCCCTAATACTGAACCAGATACTTAATTTGGAAATATCGTTATGGAAAAAATAGTTATTATTGTTCTAAAATTGTAATAACTATTTTCGTATAACATCGATATCGATAAAACACAACAATAAATATTATGTTTTTCTTTTTATAGTGAGCATCTTTTTTCGTTATTAATAATATTATAATACTGGTAATTTATTGTTCTAGTAGTATTTAACCGCTTTGAAACGGATTTCATTGAAACATTAATAATATTATGCAGACTTGTTTTTGAGTCCTTTGTTTTATATCTCAGGATATACTCAATACATTAGATGTAGTACATAGTAAAAAGCTTCTTAAAAAAAGTGTCTTAGGTACGGGTAAGGATACCATCTTGGAATACCCGGTCTGTGTATAGGTACCTCAGAAAATGTTTAGATAGTTACATCCAACGATTATTAGCGGCCACATTTGTTTGAACAGAAGTTTATATATATTTAGTTAGTTTTTAAAAGTGGCATGTTTAAAAGATAAGTAATCATAGAGTTTTCGACGTTAGTCGAAATTTAACTTACGAGAATTTAATTCGATCAAACAATTTTTTTATTTATTTTTATTTATCATCTGCTCATTTTTTTTTTTTTTTATAAATTCCAAAATTGTTTAAAAAAAAAAACTAAACGATTTTAGAATATCGATATTCATAATCAGTGTACACTTTACAAGGAACCTTGTATAGATAATTTAATACTTAAAAACTAAATGCAATTACGAAAAAGTTTCAAAGATATCCGTTTATACCCACTGTAGCCGTTGACAAATTGCTTAAAATAAATCACAAACGTCAATGTAAAGACAGTTATTTTTTATACATTTTTTATCACATAATAATATAAATATTAAAGGTACGTCGGTATTGAATATGACCGCAACTGTGTCGGAAACAAATTTTCCCCCAATACATTATTGAAAGATTAGGTAGTATTACAAATTTTAAATTGTTACTCCTTCTGAGCGTGTCTATATGAACATTATATCAAGGGATGGACGGCTAATGTCAGTTATACGGTAAATTTGTTATCCCTTGATATCTCTGTAGAGTACCTTTAGTTATCAGCAGTGTTGAGCATTATCTAAATAAATTATCTAGATAAATAATTAATTATCTTTTATCTTATCTAGATAAAAAATAAAATTAGTTATCTAATGAATTATATTAGATGAATAATTGAGTTATCTAATGTAATTCATCTAGATAAATAACTATATATACTTATTCGAAAAATTAAAAAACTGAACTTGAAAGTCAAAACCCATATCTCATTAGGAAACTAACCTTGTACACATAGAAAATAAAATTAAAAATATAAAGTAATAGGTAATAAAATATTATCCGGGTCACTTATTTATGTTATTTCCAAATTCTAATAGAAATTGCAAATTGTAGAATCTAGTATAAATTGAAAAACAAATTGTAGATTAATTGATAAAATTAAAACAATTGTATCTTTTTTTTGTTATCCAGATAAATAGTGTTTTATCTTTTACCTTTAATTTAGATTTTAACTATCTTTTATCTTTTTCTAGATAAATTGTATCTAATTATTGCATGTTTAGTTATCTTTTCACGACACTGGTTATCAGAAAATAAACTAGGGTATAATTTTACATTAACGTCGAAAAAAAAAAATCCACCATGTCTATATTTGGACATTATTGGATACTGCTCGAAAGAAATTAAGTGACTTCTGAGTAAAAACTTCATTCATTTATTTTATAAATTTAAAATATTATAATACAAGATCATCGTGGTTTTTCAAACGTGATACTGTCAATTTTTAGTGAAAATCGATGTCTAATAAAATGTATGCTTTAAAAGTTTATATCAATAAAATTTAGGTTTTTAAAAAAAAGTTTCAGCTGACCCCGATTATATCCCATATCTCATCCTATGCTATTAAGAATGCTAAGTATTAATAATTTCATTACAAGTGCATTACGAAATTGTGTTGGTCTTGGAGAGTATGCATAGGGGGTGATTTGAAGGTCTGTTCTTCTCATTGCCTTTTGTATTTATACCAAGTTTCGCATGTGGATTCAAAGTAACCTTTTCAAAAAGAAATTGTTCACACCTGACCGTCTAAAACGGAACATTAAATTTTTCAAATGTATTTTACCATCAAAAAATAGATAACAATATATTCTAATTAACAGTATAAGTATACAAATTTCGGTTACATTTTTTCGGTTAAATCGTAATTTTGTTAAAAAAAAAATCAATTCAATAACTACGGGACAACTACATCTATTATCTGTAGCACCACAATTCACCGCATGTGAGGATTCAACCCGAAATCCTATATATAATGGCCGTTAAGTTCTATATACTCAATTTCGAGGGTTATTTGCGATCCAAATCCTTCTATTCATTATGTATGGTTAGCGAACAAGTTGGAGTGATTTGAAATTCGTCAAAACCTTGCCGACCACAACGTCTGATTCTGATATCGAATTAATTACTTTTTGCACGTACCTATTTATTATAACATTTTATACTTATTATTGTTGTAACTCGGAACCCTATCACAATATACCGTATATTTGTTTCCACAATTATGAAATCTGAGTAGACTGACCCTTTATCAATAACTTTTATAAATAATATTAGTTACCGAAGTAATAAAATTCTAAAAATCAAAGATCTACTGTAATATTTACAAAATATTGTTACAATATAATTAATTTAATAGAAATATAATATTAAATGAGAAACACGTAATAATAAAAAGTCGGAAAACGATAAAAAAGAATACCTAAATAATATATCGGAAAAAAAAGCTCATGAATACTGCTATGATGGATATAGCAAGTTACACTGTTAAAAAGGTAGGATATTATAATACATAAGTAATTTAGTTTAATGAAAACAATTACCCGTTCAATGGACCAACTAGAACAAAAATCCAACGGAAAAAATATCGTATTATAAACAGTTTTTGACTGGTGCAAGCAGCAAGCACGAAAACTTGTTATCGATCTGGGAAAAGGTACGCAATATCATAAAAACAAACATAAAAAGATGTTTTCAAATGTTTTTATTATGTATTAACTTTAAGATGTAAATGTATAAAATGAATCAAAATGAAAAAAAAAAATACATAATTTTTTTTTTTAAGATATTTATGGTTTTACTGTACAATACGCAATATGCATTACACATAATAATAATATATTTTAATGAACTATTGGTAGTTTACGGTTACAATATCTGTCTAGTAAAATAATATTAGTTTGTGAAATATTGTAGAAATGCAGATTTTATCCATAAATAAGGTAGCGCATAAACTCATTGTAAACGGAAATGGTAAAAGAAGAACCTTCGATAATATTTTATTTTACAATATTTATCGGTTTCAGACGTACAATAAATTATCACACTAAAACGAATTGACCGTCTGCGCGGAATCTATTGAGGAAATTAATATTTCTCATTCCTGAATAATTTCGAAATAAACGTTTCGCAAAACATTTTCCTGTGACTATATATTATAATATAATATTGTACGGGAAGTATTTTTTTTTTTCCATTGCATTGTTCAAAATCAATGAGCTCGGTAAACGGAAACGAATATAATAGCGAATGCATGGCGATTTAAAATTTCAAAAGAAAAAAGAAAATCAAAGTGTTAAATAAATTTATGTATAGAACTAAAGGTTTTGAAATCATTAACTTTCTCGAATTCACAGCTAGAAGGGAATATCCCAAATCCCGAGGGACCGAAATGCTAAGAAAGTTTTCTATAATATACAGGCACTACGTCAAACACAATAATTCATTTGATATCAATGGAGTATAAGTATAAATATACTGTTTTACCATCAAATATTCAAGAGACAATTGAGCAGCTTTGAAAAACCATCAGTTTAACCTGACGCTCTTCTTTGTTTTCCACCGTGGTATAATATAAATAAATAATAGTATAAAGTTAAGGTCCGTGAAGTTAACGACACAACATAAATATTTTTGAACCGAATTTTTTCAAAAATTGTTATGTCATTTATAACTATTTGTAAGCAAAAATTTGAAATTTTTAATTCCAGTAGTTTTAAATTATTCAGTAATATTTATTTCGCGACTAATTTCCGCGAAATTGGCCGTTTTGCCATTTCCAAATTTTCGACCCAGCCAAAATTGTTTACACTATTTTTAATTATCTGTAAATGCAAATCCACAATTTTTAAGTCATCCCCTCTTGATTTATCCCTGACTTATACATTTTTCGAAAAATTTGGTTCGAAAATATTGATGTGTGGCTAATTTCACGAACCTATAAAGTTATTTATGTGGACTTTTACAAATGTGTATTTTTTCCTTAAAAAATATGAGCTGATACTGGGAAAGGATGTGCAACTGTTTAAGGCGGGTAGTTGTGAAGGTGGGATACAAAAAAGTTATTTAATGTACACCTGTAACCAATGTTACACTATTGCTAACGACGAAAAACAATTCCAAGAAACGTTCGGCTATATATGTTTTGAAAGTAATATTTACGATTTTCGTCAAATTTAATTTTAAAACTCTTATTAAAATATAAAAATACTACTACATTCTACTTATTTTTTTTTTTTTTTCTACAACTAAGTACGACTTATAATGAACCTCTTATCAAATTTCAAGTATTTCTGTTTAGTCTAGTAAGTCCTAAGTTTTTCATACAGTATGCTAACGTTGTTAAGAACATCAATCGATATCAATAAAATTAGAAAATAAAACCAAAATTATAAATACGTATTTCTTATTCAGTTTTATTTAAAGAAAAGAATATCTAAAAGAAATTTTGAACTATACAATAATGTACGGGCATCCGAACAATTCATAATTAATATTATAATATGTAAATTAAATATTTGAGCTCGGAGACTGGCAGAAATGGTGTCGTTTTGTGATGTTTTTTTTTTTTTTTTTTGTACTTGTATAAATATCGTTTTGACTGTAAAGGAAACGCAAACCTTTTGGTAGGTATGGTACCCACTGCAAAGGGTGTGAAATACTTCTCGAAATAAAAACCGTTCCGATGTAAAATACTAAATAGGTAATACGCGCAGTAGGTAATAACAACATCTATAAAATGTATCCCGATAATAAATAGGTTCGAGCCGGACAGGGACGCGAAAACGTTTTTCAATAAGAATTATTATTTTTAAGACCAGGGATTCTTTTATCGCGGTCAATTTGAGCTCGACACCATTCCGGTCGTAAATTATTGTTTACGAAACGTGTACGTCTCGTATCGTTGTATGACGATTTACTTCGATATTTCGTCGAAAAACAGTCGGGTGAAAACTACTGCCATAGCACGACAACACTGCCAACCGTATAATAATATTCTTTATAGTTCGTGTATTTTCTTATCGTACGTCATATCGTTTTTGTTTTGTATGATATGACCATGATATGACCTCATACTAATATACGCTCATAGATAGAGGGCGTTCTTCACAAGTGACTTATGACTTTCGCATGGTATTTATTGTACATTGTACTACACATACAATGGCAATACTGATGTGACTAGACTGCACACCACTGTAGTATGTCTGACCGGTTTCTACTTAAGCTACTTTATAGGCAAGGCCAGTCCATTAGTATAAGGTCTATGGATAAGACACAATATATTATTAATATTATTATTATACAGTTTTAAACGAAAACTATAATATGGGTCACTCGTACACATGAGGAGTCTGAAAAATAATGGCCAAAGAAAAATATGGTCGAAGGAAATAATTGCCGATGCAAATTTTCGGATGTATAAAATTATTAAAATTATTGAAAAATATAGCCAAAGACAAAAATTTAAATTATATACAACAAAACTGTATGTGTACTTCGAACATCAAAATTATTGAATATTTGAAATCTATCGCTATTTACAGACGTTATAATCACCCATTTTTATTATAAAACGCTCAAATCAAATAAATAAACTGTCCAATAAATTAGACGCTAGTATTTTAGATAGCGCTATTGTACAAGTTGATCATTTTACCATGAATCAGTCAATATCTTAGTATTTACTTTTTCGACATTTTTTTTTTATAATATCTAAGGAACAAGTAGCAATCTAAAAATAATGGTAATTGAGCTTCTTGTTTCCTAAATGTTCTAAAATAAAAATACATACAAATACATTTTCAAAATTAATTGGTCATTCTCATTCAACAATTTGGAATTTAAATTAAAAATTGGAGTAAACAAACTAAAATTGCACAGTGGGATGATATTGGTCAAACCCCTTTATTAAAAAAAAAAAGAAAACTTTATATCGATGTGCAGAATACACTAAACAAATTACGCACTGATTTTAAAAATGTTAAACAAAAAATGTATAATTTTTTAAAAGCGATTGTTCAGACAATAAAAACATTTTAATTTCATAACTGTAATTATTTACATATTTTTGTTTTATTTCCTTACTTATATTTAGAATTTTGACATTTGACATTTAACATTTTTTGCAATTGAATTTTTAATTATTGCCTAATGTGCTTTTAATATAATTTATTAATAAATTATTTTAATATTGTCCACATTTGACTATAGGCACTTATTTAATTATTTAATATTATATTAATAATTATTGCTTATTACGCTTTTGAACATAACTTTATTATTAAAATAATACAACATGACCCACTGGTTTGACTAGTTATTTAATTATTTTAATTCGTATTTATAATTATTACTTATTGTGCCTATAATAACCATAGATAATCTAATAACCAAATATAAAAATTGCCAATTTTGTCATCTATTAGATATATTTATTTATTATATCACAAATTATGTGACCTTTTTTGTCTTTGGCTTTTTTTCCAATAATTTTTATTAAATATAAGAAATTTTCCTCCACTCATAATTTATTTTGGTCATATTTTTCTCTGACCATTTTGATACATGGCTATTTTTTATTTGCGAATTATTACCGACTACCAAAAATGACACGCAGCATGCTACATCGATTCGAATTTTGGACGAAACTATAGGAGGTTAACAAGCCTCGAGGTGCCAAGCATGAGTACATGTTTTTTTTTTTTTTTTTTTGTTACAATATAGTCAGCCAAATTTACACAGTTTAAAAGATAAAAAAAATATCGATTCTTGAAAAAAAAAAAAAAACTGTAGTTGAAATATAAGTCCGCTAAAGCTGCGCGCACCAATCAAGATAAATATTTAGAGTAAAGTTGAAAATTTACTTTCGTTAATAACTTTAAACTTAATCTGTTGGTTTAAATTCTGAAAAACTTTCTAGATGATGCGTTGTTTTGAATACCTGAAATATTCTGATCTAAAACGTTAAAAATCAAAATAAAGGGAACTAGTTATTTATAAAAAGTATTTTTTTTTTTTTATATATAGATTCCACAAAAATAATAATCACGATAACACCTAAGTTTTTCAAGATTTTTACGTCATTTTTATTCGGTAGGAATTTAGTAGGTTTATTCAGTAGGTAGATATTTTATGGATAAAATCGTTAGACTAAACAGAAATGCTTGAAAATTTAACAGAAGGTTCATTATAAGTCACACTTTGTAGTAAAAAAAAAAAAAAAATTAGTGTATTGTAAATTTTTTTTTTTATTAGAATTTAAGTATCAAATTTTGACTAAAATCGTTAATATTACGAACTTTTAAAACATGCATAACAGAACTCCGTTCAGAATCGTTTTTCGTTAGCAAAGATTAATCGTTGCGAACATAATTATATATACATTATATCCCCTTCTATACATCCTGCCATTCCAACTTCTTACCTAAAACAGGGGCCCACCGATCAAGCGAAGTATGTTCGTCTTTTTAAATACATGAACATTTCCACAATTTGCAAGTCACAAACTAAGTGTTGGGACCAACTTCACAGATGTACAAGTAGGTACCTATACTTTCTGTGAACGTATATATACTATATATAATATGGTTAATTTAATAAATCACGTAGGTACTTTATAATGCGAAAATAATTATAGCAGAGAATATTTATAAAATAATAATGTATCGTTTTCGTTTGAATTATGACGTCGGGTTTGTTTACCGACTTGCTTTTTTTCTCAAATTCTCATCAACTACTTGTTCTTACACGTGCCAAAACATTTATACTAGGTACGTTTTAAAATGTCAACACCGTTATAAAAATAGGTAAGTGGATACCTACTAAATATAAAAACTGAATGACTCTTATACGAGGTGTAGTTATAATAATAATAATAAAAAAACAAGCAATATTATGTTTATTTACATTGTACTTCTATTTCGTCTTCTTCTTCTTCTTCTTCTTCTCGTTTGGTTGATAAACTTTAAATTCATATCTTCGACTAGTATTCTATGAAATGAACTTCCGATGCGTTAATTTTCGATCATAAATGGTCCATTCATAAATTTTAACAGGTGTCCGCCGTCTTGTAATTCTCTAATGAGAATTCTGTAAGAGAGGTAATGCTTCTTCAATCATGTAAGGTTGGTCTACTTTTCTAGGCGTTCGTTTATTAATATCTTTATTAGGAGTTGGGATGATTCAAGGAAATTTTCTTGGATAGGTTGAATATTAGTAAGATGACATCAGTTGTTATAAATACATAACGTGTTTTTTTCATCGTAATTTTTATGTTACATTTCTCACTAAATATACTTTGAATTTGTATAATTTA